CTCAAGCTGGTCCGTCTAGCCATTATTGCGTCTTCTAGGCCTTTTCGGTTATCATATTGGCAGTATACTTTCGTCTTTTTTCCTTTAGGCGAATAGCTGTAGTAAAATCTGCGACCATCCTCTTCTGTCTCCATATCTGCTACCTTTCCTTCGCAGCCCCAGGTCACCTAAGAGATGAAAACAGTTAAGATCCACAACGGAAATGTGAGTTTTAAACTGTGCTCTAAAATGTTTTTAATGCCCTAAATATGAATTCATTACAATGTAGTGGCACAGAAAAAAAATGCAAAAGTTTATAGGAAAATCGCGACATTAACTCCAATAGAAAACACTCTTTTAGGGTAGTCACCCATTGTAAACGAGATCACGATCAAACCGCATCGATGTTCTTAATTAACGCGCTCCTAAAATACATCTTTATTTACATTAAATTGATCTGGTTCCTATATCCTCTATGTTAAGCACAGAAAAGGGAAAGGAAATGTGACGGTGAATTATTAGCCTTATGAACGATTGAACTGGAGTTAGTTTAGGCAGTGGAAAAAGTGGCGAAGAGGAAAAAAGTTGGCGCCTGTATCAGTAATCAGCCTCAGCCGAGGCAAAAAGCGAAGCTTTCGTGGTAACTTTTGAGAAATTTAGTTTTTGATTCTGAAGCACAGTTTTCTGAGCCGGCGATCACTTGAATAAGATAACTACTTAGCAAAGAACTTTATTAACACGTCACCTCAATAAGTTGTTTACCTGATCCTGCAATACAGTCATGTGTCACACTGATCACTGGATTTCAATTAATTATAACATTTGTCTCATATCAAGTTAAACACAGATAGAGGGCGGATGGAGGTGCGGACGGACGGATGTACGTACGATTTTGAAACTTTCCTTGGCTGCATAGATTTTCTTACCCACGGTGCTCAACTGTGCATGCTTCGCGCGCTCGAGCCCCTCAATCATCTCTTCAGAGGGGGCACTGACCTTTTAGAAAAATTTTTATAGTAATTTATTATGCACTTTATGATCTAGTTTGACCCCTGAAAACTACGACGGTCGATGAAATAAAACGACGTCTTTATCATTCTAAAGTCCTTTAAGCAGTTTTCCCAACTTTAATCTATTTTAATAAAAGCTAGAGCATTTACCTGATTTAGCCCAAGACACAAAAGCAGACGCGGCCTATAAAAATAATGGATCATTTTAAAGCAGTTATTATTCAGTGTTACTTACCTTCTCGTCAGGAAACAAGTCATGAGATCGGAAATTCACCAGATCAACAATTGATCCCATCAAGAATTTAAACGCTTTGGGGTACCGAGGAATCGACTGCAGCCACTCCTTGAACTCTGTCTTGAATGTTGGTGAGTAAGCATCAGAGAGAATGGAGGCAATCTCTTGGCTTCCGCCCTGGGCCATTATTGATGTGGATGAAGTTTTCACCTGCTCACGCTGTTGGTACCCCTCTTCTTTACTATATTTAGCTCCAACACTCGAGAAAAGACTCTTATACTCCACCTCCATTTTCTCAGCAAACTGTGTCTTAGTTTCCTTCTGATCGGCCTGCTTTGTCTTTCTTATCTGAAGTTGTCCTCCGAACTTTGCCGATTTAATGTAATGCGTTCCCCAACGCTGAATGAAGTTTTCTGTCCTTGAAAATTAAATGCATAATCAGATTCGTGATTAAACTTAGATGTTGCTCTCATCTGTGCTTTGGATAATTAGAGTAATGAAATTACTCACTATAACTTATTGTGACTGGTTATAGATTTTTCTTTTGTTTCAGACAAATTCCTACCACTGGTCTTCTCGTGCATGTTACAAGAATAAACCTTTGTACAACTCAGACTTAAGTATAAATCTTGTATGGAAAGAACTGAAAGATTTATGCATGAGACAAGTAAGGTATTGGATTCATTCAGAATATTATTCGGGAACCTTACTGGTTTTGGTCAAGGTAGGGTTGCGTACTCTAAACTTATACGAACATTCTAGTGGGGAAAAATACTCATTAGGTCATCCAAGAAGCACAAGACTCGGTGTTCTTACTATGAAAATTCCAGAAGGACGTTTTTTCAAGATTAAAACGACGTTGCTCATGCATGCAAGACTACACAACACCCACATAACAGAGACGCATTGTGGTGATGACGTTACACTGACCAAAACGTAACAACTGAAGACATACAAATAACAGTTGGCGCTTCACTATAAACAACAACAGTTACTAATTACCAGCAATATAAATTACTCAGTCTTAGAATCTCCAAAACACAATGAAGGTCAAAGTGTCGGGAGCTTTCCAGTGATATTACTAAAACTAGCGACCCTTCCCCTCCCACCCCCAACAATGTTGAATTTTGAGCAAAGTGGGGGGAAATGAGTGCTAATGTTAGGCCACAACATTGCTGGGGGGAGAAGTGGGGGGACGACGAGATGAACCCAAAGCCGAACAAAAAATTGTCGTTAGGAGCATTGTTGGGACCTTTTCCAGTGATATTACTAAAACTAGCTACCCTCCGGTCCCCTCCGACGCCAAACAAAGTTGAATTTTGCGCAAAATGGGTGGAAATGAGTGCCTTTTATACAAAAACATGGCTGCGGGGAGTTGGGGACGACGAGATGAACCCAAAGCTGAACAAAAGATTGTCGTTGGGAGCAGTGTTGGGATCTTTTCAAGGGATATTACTCAAAAACGTACCCGTCCGGTCCCCTCCCACCACAAACAAAGATGAATTTTGCACAAAATGGGTGGAAATGAGTGCTTTTTTTACCACAACATTGCTGAGGGGAGTTGCGGGACGACGGGATGAACCCAAAGCCGAACAAAAAATGATTATTAGGAGCAGGCTTCTACGTAACAATTACTTGGAAGGACTTTTTCACACAGCCCTAAGTTCTTCTGTCCTCCATTGCAGTTTCCCACATCTTAGGAGCATTGCAACCAGTATATGTATACGGACGAAGATTCCCATGCGAAGATCACGACACATGGGTAAGCTCGAGAAGGGGGTGAATACCAGTAAACGAGTTCGCCAACATGGATCTTAGTATGTCTTGATCTTAATAGCTTACAATGGAATGTACCCTAGTTCTTCTGGAAGGTCACTGAAATTATTAAAAATCACTGTGACATTTTTCTACTCACGATATTTCAGTGGTGCTCCAGCCTCAAAATAGGAATTTGGTAAATTCATAAATTCACGGAGGAATGACAAACTTAAATCCTGTGGTTTTACCTCGTCCATGAAAATTTCATACCTGAAAATAGAACAAACATTAATAAAGAAGGCGCTCCGATCACCAGAGGTGCTTCACTATCTCTCAGGTATTCATAAGTTTGGCGATGCATTTTTTTTTCAGTGTCTATTGCGTAGGAGCTTATTTTCCACACTATTTATTATATGTACTGGCGATAAAAAAACTAGTTCAAACAATCTTCTGAAAAATGTCGTGATTTTCAATTTGACACAATCTGGATTTGTCTCTCTCATAGACAGTCTTCTCCGCCGGTATAAGCCGTTGGACCATAAACAGGTTATGATTGACACTACTGGTTACACGACAGAATAAATCTTTACCAGAAAGAAAAACTACAAGTCATTTAAAGTTGTTTAAAGTCGAGAGGGGCGTAAGGGGGGCACTAATGCTGCAAAACCGCACAGAATTACGTATAAACACCGCACAGAATACAGAGATTAAGATCCACGCTTACGCCAAACGGCAAGACGTGAATTTGTACCACGTGACCAAGTTTTTCCATTATTTTTTTTACGCCAGTTTTAACCATAGGAATCGTTCGGGGCTGTTTTTATCTGCTTATATTCTATTCTAAAGACTTCTCAACTTGAGTCTGACGTTTACTGTTTGCGGTAAACGTGAATATTAATCTCTCTCTAATAACATAAGAAAACCGCAAACCGCATTGAAATTACCCGAAAATTTCTAAATACCACAAGCCGCTTAGTTTTGTAAAACCGCAATACCGCATCTAAAAAATAAATAACATTTCTGCAAAACCGCACCAAAAATCGAGCAAAAGTGCTTCACCTCAAACCTAATACGCGCGCCTCAACGGTCCGAATCCCATCCCCTTCAAGTTGAAAAATTCCATTTGACTTACCTATCGACGTCGACATACAGAACAGACAGAAAAGTCTGACTCGCTCCAGACGAAGAGCTTCCATAAGCCTCCTTCACACCTGCATAGAACCCAAAAATTGAACCAGAGACACCTGCTTCCTGCTGGATGTATCTTCGATATTCCGACCGACTCTCAAAAGTCAACATGTAGGCAGAGGTATCGTAAACACCATGTACGTTCATTGTGTCTGGTACATCCAAATCATCATATCTGCCAAAGGGGAGTTAAGACAATTATAATTTAAAATCCTCGAAGATTTGTTAATCTCAATTTAATTTTATTTGTCTAAAGTTTCATTATAATGATATGTAACGCACGCTGCTTGATGAAAACCAACATTTCCTCGTCGAGAAAATCTTACTAGAAAAGCATAGGGTAGTTAAAATAAGAATACGTAGCATCTCTCTTATAGCGTTTAAACTCTGTAAAGTGAGTTAACTAGCTACCGGTTAATTTGGGCATCATGCAAGCTCTGCTCATTTAGTTACAGGGAAGGGTCAAAATTTAGAGACGTCCACTGTGACAGTACGTGTTACAAATAGACGCTTCGTGATAAGACTGATAAAAAATTGGAGATCGAAAATAGGAATGCAGGCTTTGAAAAGCAAAACACCTCGATATACTCATTTTTCTGGATTCTGGACTGTATTTTCCTCGACCATCAAACCCAACTCCCATAAAAGCGGCTCCATCAATCATGTTCTGAAAACGGTTTTACAAGACTAGTTACATTTTCCTCTGAACTATAGCAGTACTTTCAAATTAGGTGTTAACTAATCTGCCAAATAATTTTTCTCTTAGGGCTTATGAAGACTTTGTTTTTCTAAATTTCGTTAACCTCCCATACGCGGATTTTCTCCCAGTGTACACTTCTTCGACGTCTTTAGGTTGGTAGCCTTCCACACAGAAGTTATTAGGGTTCGAGAAGCCCTAAGAACGTCTAAGTGGAAGGCAACAATTTTGTCCGCTTATGGCAGGTTAAAACTTGGCACTGGCAATTCAGACTGTAGTTAAAATCGTGTTTTCTCTTACAAGGCAGATAGGTGAAGCAAACTTGGCGTTATAGCATGCATCACTTGGAGTATAATTGGTACCATAGCAACCGTTCATCATGACGTATCCCAAACCCATGTTAGGAGCGTAAGTAAACGGCTGTTCTCCATGTTCCGGCTCTGGGTGATCTATGTCGGAGATTGACGCACCCATGTGGTATCCCGGGGGTACGAACATATCGGGGGTGCTCCATCCTTTATCAGGCATAATATCCAGTTTGATCTGTGAATAAATAGTGGTATCGTCAGTGATAGAAGTTCACACGGTAATAATTCAGCCAAGACTAAAAGCGGAGCTCCAGTTCAATAAATACTCAAGGTTTACTTCAAACAATAAACTTATCATGTAGCTAGTGTTTAATTAGCATGAAAGAGCAGGGATGATTTTCGGCTCTGTTTCACACGCCAAAAAACAGGGCCTTCCTCAGCTTGTCAAACCTGAAAAGCTGAACGTTTACCATACGGTCACATATAACAACCATGATCCTCGGAAAGATGGATGATTGATTTTAAACTATATTTTATCTCTGACTGGTCCTCAGTCGTCTTCGCACACGTAACACGCACGGCGCGAGCTTTCTATTTTCCCATAACCCCCCGCCGCCACTAAGGAGAGGTTGTGATAAACGACTAGTAACGAGTTAGATTTTATCCCTGGTGCTGTATATATTGTACTTATGTATGTCTTTAATAGACTGATAACGCCTGTAAAATTATTTACCGGATAAGGATCGTTACGTACAGGCACAGTGCGCGAAGGAAATAGCGTTAAAAACATTTCCTATATAATTGAAATACAATTATAGCAAAAATATAGACAATACAAAAATAATCAGAGCGAACAAAACAGGTATTTCGCATACCTGGAAAAGCGGACATATCAAACAAAGTTTTATTTTATTTGCCAAAATCTTTCTTATCTTATTTTGTTTTGTAGCAGAAGTCAATAAAACTATTTTTCGTTAACACCGTCTGAGAGAGATTAAAAGGTCAAATGAACCAAAAAATTGAAATATTTTCTTTTATCGAATTACCTTCACCAAACGCTAAAAGAAACTATTTTAAGTGAGATTTGGGTAAAGATTTTTCTTCGCAAGCCTTTAATTTATAGAAAGATTAAAGATCAAAATCCGAGCATTAACGAAGACTTCTCGAAAACGTTTTTGTGTCGTTCTGTGAGAGTTCTGACTGAGACTGAATGAAATACACGAGGTGCGAACGTTTGCTCCTTTTAAGCCTCTCTATTTGTTTTTGTTGTTGTTGCTGTTGTTTCGTCACTTAAAAATTACTTTGGATTCAGAAGAACCAAGTTAGAGTAAAAATGGATCATTGCGTCAGTCTGAGGTGGAATATGATGTTTCGGAACATTTTCAAAGAGGTTTGTATTCTTCTGATAATTGTGCATTCGATTTGTGAGTTGATTTTGTGTCCAGTGCTTTGCTTTCTTTCGCCGGGTTGAATTAAAACCCGCTTGTATTCTGTTATTAGTTGTTACGTTTACTTTTTTTACATGCGCAGACTTATTTACCTAGTTTGCAGAGAACCAGCTTTATCCCTGTCTTCAGTCAAAGAACTGTAATGCTAACGCATGCGAGTGAACAAACTTGTGCGCTTAAAACTTTCTCGGAACTATAGAAGACCAGCAAGCTTACTCGAGAAGAAAAGACTACTTCGATCATTTTTCTGTTGCTCAAGTAATAACAGTCAGAGTTTTTTTTTCCTTGTTTCATTTTTAATTACATAGTTTTGTTTTCTTTTTGTACGCAAATTTTCCTTTTCACTCGCTGTGAAGTAGCTGACCACGACAACTGCCGGCAGTAATTTCAAAACGGTTGTCTCTTTGCCCGTAAACAATTGCTGGATCTTGATTTGAATGAAGCGAGCAAAAAAACCCTTATGTGCAGTTTTCTGTATCTTTTAATGATTCAGTTTGCTCAGTTTAATTTGCTTGAATGAAGACCCCACGCATGGACCAGTTATTAAAAATAGCTCATGGTGAATCATGGCTTGGCTGCCGGCGAAGCTTGCAACTGATCTTTTGCTTTTAAGATCTTAAGACAGGTTAGTTTCATACAGAAAATTCACTTCCTCATTGTCAGCAGGTATGACAGCCTTAAGCATTATGTTTTTTGAAAATTTGTTGTTTTGAAACCTTATTGAAGCTTTTTCTAGCTCACTTAAGCTGAATTTTGTGCATGATGGAATTGTTCCCTGCTTGCGCACCTCTTCATGCGCACTTAAAGTGGCGTCTATGGTCCCTAAAGTGACCTAAGTCGGTAATTAAATCATAAACATAACTGAAAAATATCAACGCCAAAACTTCTACATTGAGGATTTTAGTGATATGCGAAGCTACAAGTGTCCGATCGAGCGTCGGTTTTAAAACATTAGCTCGAGTGTGACGAAGTTCCATGACTTCAAACACATTGTGGGCAAGCGTGAATTTCTTTGGGTAATTAAATCACTATACAAATAAGATATTTTGTTTTTGTGTCCACGGTGGAGCTTCGGACCTTATACATCCAGGACCTTACTTACATGACCACAATTTTTGAATGCATCTTGAACAAAACCGGACCTACGCACGCACATTTACAGTACAACGCAAGGAAATTTTTAATATCATCTAAGTCCGTTTTACTTTGATGTATTCTTCGAGAAAATTAAATAATAAGAAGGTTATAACCACAGCTTGCAACTTTTGAAGACAAATTGCTTGTTCTTTCCAGTTATGGGCGCACAACCAACCATAATTTCTGCGCCATATCGACTCAAAAACACTGTTTTGAATTTCCCGCTTTTTTTTCACCTGACCAACATTGACACCACAAGCTGTTTTTGCCGACAATTTTTCCGACCGTTCTACGAAGTTAAGGGCCAAAAAATAGCAATTTTAAATTTCGAATATCTCGGAGATGCTTGCTTCAATTGAGCTGAAACTTTATAGTATGTATATTTGGTTCATATTATACACATTTCACTAGAATTGAACTAAAATAAAAAATGTGGAAATCAAGTTTGGTTCATTTTTCATGACCTTTAATCTATCCTCACAAGATCCCTACCACCCACCTCTTTCGCCAAGAACTTGGAAGCCTTTTCTTGAGCTTCGTCGATTATATTGAGCTGTTTGTCCACCAGTTTGCCCATAACTTCCAATCCTTTATCAACAACAGCTTCCTGAACTTTGGGGTTTTTCAACGCCGTCATTGCTAGAGCAGGAAGCGCTTTCTTATCCCCCGTTTCTGTTTGGCCTTTAAGCATACAAGTTTATAATAATCAAACTTCCACGATAGTGTTTGTTCTTTGGGAAAATTGCTTAATCGTAACGCTAGCCTTATCAATCAACTTCTGACCTTTAGTTCAGTCAAACGCTTTGTTTTAACACCAGGCGTTAGAAGTTACGCTTTACGTTAATTTTTGTTGGCCGAACCTGGCTTCACTTTAAGAAACCTTTCATAAGTGTAGTTTACAAGGGAAACTATTGTTTTCGGACCCTAAAACAATAGCTACACTTGTAAATTACACTTGTAAAAGTTTTATGAAATTGACTCCTGGACTTGAAAAGCGACACAAGGAAAAGTACCAAGGGGAAGTACGCTTCACCAAGAAGTTTAGAATTAAATCAGGCCAAAAAAAAAAAAAAATAGAATGAATCTATTAAATGAATTTGTAAGGCATGGAGTGTTCCCGCATGATCGGTCACATTGGCCATATTGATGTACCAAAACATAAAAAGAAAGTAGCCATATTGATGATTCAGAACCAATTCAATCCGTGGGAGATGAAGAAAAACCTTATTCACTTGGTAAAATAATAATGCCAATACGCGCCACTACGGAAAATGGGCGATTTTCCGTAGTGGTTTAGCAATTTCTTCCGTACCGTCGTCCAACTCATCCCCTACTGCCTTGGCATCTTGTTCTTGGAATCCACTCGAATCTTCAGGTTGATCCTCTCTTTGCAGAACTGTAGATTCACCTTTTCAGGAAAAAATTGAGATTATCTCAATGCCTGTTAATTTTTGTTCTTGTGAAAGGAGGGAAATGATACTAATATAACGATACCACTGAGGTTCCATGACATCACTTGTGTCACCTCCAAATAGAGCGTCGTTTTATGAGATGCGATTTTCAAATTATTACATTATTTTCATTAAAGCCTTGTTTTACCTTTTGCTAATGCAAGATAAGCTATTCATTCTACTACAGTTAATCTGAGATCTGTTGGCCACTCGAAAAAAGAATTAGCCGTCTATATCCTGCACTGGTTAGCAGCGACTTGCGCTAATGGGTCACTGAAAACAGCTTTATAGTAACTTTATTTTTTGCCATCTGAACGATGTTTCTTCCTCTTCTGGCTTATTCAGAAGAAGAGGCCCGTAAAAGACTTATGTCATCAGACATTACTGATGTTCTCTCTGCTATTTTGTTTTTGTTTCACTCGCTGATTTTTATATTTGTTCCACTGTTTTCTTTTTATAATCTGCTGTTTGTACATGCATGCATGGTAAGTTTGACTTCTTCTGTTTTTTGTTTACAGTTTCAAATCAGGAAATATATTGCGTATCAATTTATATATATTACTTTTTTATTGCCGGGTCAGTCTGCTTTTCAGTAAATATTTGCCCCATTTGGTAATTCGATTTTATTTTTTTGGCCTAAATTTCCAACTTCAAGACGATTTACAAAGAAGTATTTAAAATTTTATTTGAAAACAATTCTACTCTGTGGCCACCGGGAAGCTCAGCAGGTCCTGTCCTGCATCAACCAAGGCAAAACTTTCAAAATGACCAATTGAAAATAATTTTTTTCTAATGCTTTGAAAATGTGAAAACATGTTAACACTGTTCCCTTTTAATCATAATTTTTTCCCCAAGGTTATTTATAATGAACCTTTTTTCTACAGAACGTACCAGAACTTATAGTTTTGCTGAAGGAAAACCAAACAGACGTTTTTTAAACCAACTCTTCCTTAGATATCCATGTGTCTCTAGTTTGCCTTTTAAATGATAAATGTCATTAGCTTTATTTATTTGTTTATTGGACGAAGGAATTATGAATGAAACGAAAAGCACACCTTCTTTAATTGACGCCGGTGAAGAAGATTGAATCTTTCAAATTAAAACCAAAACATTTAGTTTCTTGGATGGTACTATATAACATATAATTATTCACTTCTCTGCAGGACCTGTTATCAGTGACTTGGAGCCAAACCTTTTAACCAACTTATATCAGTTAAATATCACATTACTCTTCGGTTCAGAAACTCGTTTATTTCTTAACCAAACGCCGCCGTTTTTTTCTTAAGTCCTTCTTTCATTTTTTTATTCTTCACTACTTTTGAGGCTTATTCAAGGTGGGCGGACAGTCCTTTGATTGACTTTAGATACTCAAGTACTTGAAAAAGAAATAATAACGCGGTCATGGCTTCATCTGTCTTCATTTTGTGTCATTTTATGTCAATATTTTTTAAATAAAGGCTTGTTTTAGAAGGAAAAATGCTTTAACTCACCGTAAAACTGCAATATGTAAACGGACACAAACAAGAGAAATGTAAAAGTCTTCATTTCTTTTGTTTTACAACCACACAACCTGGAAAAAAAAAGTAAGAAAGGGTAAAGACAGTAGAATTTCCATTATATAAGCCCCCCGTATCTCATTTAGGACGTTATCAAGTTTTTAAATCCAGGCCATTGTAGTAAAACATAGGAACGTTTTATCCTTTTTTATATTGCAGTTGTCTAGTCTGATCTCAAAACTTTGTTCCCTTTCACGGGGTCTACTGCTTCAAACTCTTGTTGCAGTCCCGAAAAATAAAAAGCAAAATAATTAGTAGCGCCACTCAATTATTACTAAACAGCGCTGTTTTTGAAAAAAATGAAAAAAGTGGGGAAAATCAAAGTCAACTCGAAAATGTCCAATAATCAAACGTGCTTCTGATTTTAAGAAGAAAAGCGACCCAAACATTGTTCATGGTTCAACTACGTATTTCTACTTTTAGAGAGAATTTAAAGAAAAATTAAGATAGTAGCTATTAAGTAAACCCTTACCTTCGTGATTCAAATAAGTCTCCAAGCCTTTACCAGAATGGATTTGGAAAGAATAGAGGAAGCTTCATGTTGTCGAAAAATATGATTAGTTATTAATAACAATGAGAGATTACAATGCATTGATCATGGGCTACCGATCAATTACCAGCAGATTGTAATCTTGACAGTTTGTCCTCATTTGTCCTTTTTTAGAGATTAATTCAACGGACCAACCGAAAAATGTCAATTGAACGAATCTGTTCTTCTACATGTAACTGTTCTTGGAGAAATCTATTTATGGACGTTTTCAGAGTTTGCTGTTTTCCCAACTTATTGAGACAATTCAAATTTCTATCCCTTGTTAGGAACGGCTTCAGGAAAGAAATACCAGATCGAATGGACGAAATGAAAGCAGCTCTCAGCTTGTCTCAACATTTGCCATGACGCCAAAAGATTGTGATTTTTTCCTCGTTGAAACTTGTGAAGTTTCTTATGTATGTGGTAGGGGCTGATTATATGTGGCTAAAATGGTTTTACATTTAGCATGACCCAAGGACCGTTTTCCGTCGCTCTCTCCTGAAAAAGAATCTGGTCTTCCAACAGAATTAGATTCAATCGAAAACCCACACAGGAGTTATACCTGTCAGTCTCCACTCCTGTTCCTTAACCTTCAGAGTTGCTTACAACTACCGCATCAAAACGTCTCAAGACAGCTGCCATTCGCTATAACTTCCGAAAACCGCGATGCGATGATCGGACTCAGATTTTCATAAGGTTTAGGTATTACTAATCATATATCGTAAATTAGGCTGTGCATAGCCGGTCAGCCTTCAGTAGGGTGTCTTTGATAACAGGAAACTCTACCAGTAGAACAATCACTCAGTGGTGACTGTCTGCCTCAGCCTTTCTTTGAGAAAAATTTTAAACTAAATTTAAACAGTCCGTTTCTTCATTCAATCACAGTCCTGTAATAAACTAAAAACGTACTTTGCATTTTTCTTTTTTCGTAATATTTAACTGGCCCACGCCATCAGTCTTCGGCTTCGAAGGGCAGGGTTTACTGGTAAATAAGTAATAACAATAAAATAATTTTATGCTTCATGTTCCTTTACATATTACGAAAGTTATTGATGTTGGCGGAGTCTCGCTTTGGGTGAGCTCTGTTTGCTGGGACACAAAATAATCACAATCCCATTATGGGATATTTTGGCCACGGGAGTGGCCGTTTATTAAATTAAAGCATATAAAGCTGGGAAAACTAGATACACAAGAACATTATCCCAGCAAAGGTGAGGGCACACCCGCCACTCCCTAGGGTAAAATAAAGCTAACGGGAGGGAAGGGAGGGAAAAATGTTTCTGACTGTCTTGTAATGCGAGGAAGGAGGCCTTGTGCCTCGCTTCTGTGACTTACATGACCCGTGACATAAATGACACTTTCGTGACAAATCACCCGGATGACAGGAAACCCTCCTTTGCTGGTAGCTGGAGAAATACAATAATGATCAGTCACATTAAGCATAAAACCATTTATTTCTTTCAGAAATAAATCTCATTTATGCTTCATGTTCCTTTACATATTACGAAAGTTATTGATGTTGGCGGAGTCTCGCTTTGGGTGAGCTCTGTTTGCTGGGACACAAAATAATCACAATCCCATTATGGGATATTTTGGCCACGGGGGTGGCCGTTTATTAAATTAAAGCATATAAAGCTGGGAAAACTAGATACACAAGAACATTATCCCAGCAAAGGTGAGGGCACACCCGCCACAGCCCAGAGCAAGGAACGAGTGAAAGGGCCGCCCCACCCGAGGCCAAAGCAAGACGACCGCCAACAGAAACTACTGGTACCTACAAATCAAAATGTACAATGGAAAAAGGTGTGCGCCGCCTGATACGAAAACCCGAAAAACCACATGGGAAAAACTGGGAACGTATCCCCCAACCAATGCAGTCACACAAAACCTCTGGGGGTTAAAGGTAAGAAAGATACCACATTAAAAATAAAAAGGGTCAATGTGCGAGAGCTGAGATGAATATACATGTATTATAATCATCCAACCGTGTACACCTTACAACAATAGAGTCAACTAATGCCATAACGGCTCATGTGTGTCCATAGCAATAAGACATTGTATACATTCTTTGTCACTGTCACTTACAGCTTAGTTCCACCAGTTTAGTTCAGTGGAGGTTATGCACATAAACATATAGTAATAGAATGGTAACGCTGTTTACAAAGCCCTGCTTACTGAAATGGATCAGTGTAACCAACAGAAATGTACAAGTTTGAATGAATGTGAGGGGTGTATGGCCCTTGCTCACACTGTCATTGTATCTGACACAGATCAAAAAGTGTGAATCACTTAAGTTAACTAACAGTTTAAAAGTGAAAATGAATGAGATAACTGTATGGCCCTTGTTCACACAGCCATCATAAATTGCACTTATTCACTAAGCACTGGACACTAGATGGGAATAAAATGGCCTACATAAGCAAATGAGTTTTAAGTCATGTTTTCCTAAGTCTTGGATACAGAGGTGGATTGATGTAACCAACAGAAATGGGCTACTGTAGCTAGAATAAAGGAAATGGCTGCATAGCCTGTCAGCTCACACAGTCAACTTATAATATCGACATCACTAATGCCACATCGATACGAAGCTCAAACGTGTTTAAAAGCTGTAAAGTTAAACCAGGTTGAAATAATTAGAAGTGAAAATTAATCAGTAAGATGGCTGTATGGCCCCTGCCCACACAGTAAACATGAATTTAAATAATAACAATTTACTCTAAATTGTCATAGCTCAGTGACATAATGGACGGATTAAATTTGGAAATTTGTGATATGGCTGTATGGCCCCTGCTCACACAGTCATGCAAAATTATACTTATCAAGAGTCTGAAATAGCTAACTGATGTAGCTGATTACAATAAATCTGTGCGATGGCTGTATGGCCCCTGCTCACACAGTCACCCTGAATAATACTAATAAAAAGTCTGACGTAACTCACTGATGTAACTGATTCAAATGAAAATCTGTGAGATGGCTGTATGGCCCCTGCTCACACAGTCACCTTGAAACTATACTATAAGCAGAAATCACCTAGGAAACTAACAGGTGAATAAAGTGAAAAAATTAATATACTGTAAGATGGCCGAATGACCCTGACTCATGTGGTGAGAATTCTACATATTACAATGTCACTGCCCAGCACATAAGTATCAAATGACATACATGTCCTATACACTTGAACTACATGTATACCCAATCACAATGCCCAGCAAGCCAAAGTAGTCTGAGAAAAGTTCTGCCCAAGTAGATGTACACGTAGGTGCCACATGCCAAGGGACGCAGCAGCTGCTCTTGAGTAGCCCGGCACTAGAGAGGCAACTCCTGGAAAAATGATCAGCAGAATGTCAGTACAACTCTTTGGAACATTTCTGGCATACTATGTTGAACTGAATTGAGGAACCAAAGAGAATGCAGAGCTATTGACTTTCTTAAGAGAGATGCCAAGGGAAAGCTGAAGATGGTTGGATAAAGCTGGTTGGTACTCTGCTCAAGACTGGCTTCATTGAAAAGGCGTCCATGAAAGGGAGCTGCATGTGTATACCTTAGAAACCTGCAGTAAAATGAAAAAACTATAAAAACAACTTCTTTAAAAAAGCCAGAATGTGCTACGATTAAAGAACAATGTGTAACCAATTAATAAATCAATCAGGATCTCCCAAACAAAACGAATAAACAGTAAATTCCTCAAAAACAACAAAGCTAAAAGCACTGATGTGACATGGAGAGTAAAGCATAAAGCAACGTATTACTGTCCCATCACAATAAACGCAGGACTGTAATGTCCACACATATCAAAACAGGGGGGCCAACAAAACCGGAGATTAAAATTAATGTAGCTGCATGTAAACCAAAATAACGGATTGCACGAATAAAGACTAAAAAATAGACAAAAAAGGCAAAAAATGTGAAAAGAAATTCAAACCAAATAATATTGGCATCTGGTTACCCTAGACAAAAATACAACAAACAGAACCACACACATATCACTGCAAACAAATCAAATAAGCAGTACAAACAAAGCAACAGGGGCCTAGAACAATGAGGACCAAAGCCTCAAACTGAGGAACATAGCCTCAATATAAAATAATGAGGACGAAGCCTCAATATAAAATATGAGGACAAAGCCTCAAAATAAAATATGAGGACAAAGCCTCAATATAAAATATGAGGACGAAGCCTCGAAATAAAATACGAGGCCGAAGCCTCAAAATAAAATATGAGGATGAAGCCTCAATATAAAATATGAGGACGAAGCCTCAAATAAAATACGAGGCCGAAGCCTCAAAATAAAATATGAGGACAAAGCCTCAATATAAAATATGAGGACAAAGCCTCAATATAAAATATGAGGACGAAGCCTCGAAATAAAATACGAGGCCGAAGCCTCAAAATAAAATATGAGGATGGAGCCTCAATATAAAATATGAGGACGAAGCCTCAAATAAAATACGAGGCCGAAGCCTCAAAATAAAATATGAGGACGAAGCCTCAATATAATACGAGGCCAAAGCCTCAAAATAAAATATGAGGACGAAGACTCAAATAAAATCCAAGGCCGAAGCCTCAAAATAAAATATGAGGACAAAGCCTCAATATAATACGAGGCCAAAGCCTCAATATAAAATATGAGGACGAAGCCTCAATATAAAAAACAAGGACAAAGCCTTGATACAACATGAGGACAAAACATCAACAAAACAAATGAGGTCAACGCCTCAAATACAAGTGGAGGAACAAAGCCTCACACTGAAAAAACGGCCCAGAAGTAAGCACGGGCAGACAGAATGTCGCCGACAGCGACTAAAGGAAAACAACAGAACACAACGATACACAATGCAACAGGATAAAAACACAATATGCAGACAAAACTGACATATGAACAGCAAAGGATAAACCTGATATGCTGATACAGTACACTGTACCTCTGAGGTAGCTTTGTTAGAATGGTTGCAGGGTAATTTCTAAAACCTTGTAACAGTGCTGAAAGTATCGTGCATGCAAGTTTTAGCCTGTAGGGTTTAATAACGCACCGTTTTGTTTGGCTTTGTTGTTGTTGTTGTTGTTGTTGTTGTTGTTGTTATAATACTGTAATTTTAATTATACATATAAGCTGAGTCCAAAGGTCAAAAATGCTCAAATGTGCATAAAGGCAAACTCAAAATAATAATGAATAAATAAAGTGTCTTTCCAAATCATAAAACAAGATCATAAACCCAGCTCCAGGCTGGTATAAATAAAAATGAAGATCGGGCGAGTGTTACTGATTTCAAATATAGCGCCAGTTGGCACCAGCGATAAAAGTAGCTGAAGAACACGACGCACAACCAGTCTGAGGGACAACGAAACTGTGCTACGGACACCGAACGGACTAGCTTACACGCCAGTGTAACTGAAAACATTAAAAATTAATGGTCGATTGGATGTAGAATTCGATGTTACCAATAAACAATGGCATTTCATTAGCATAAACGACCGCAACGTGTATGAATTCCCGCAATCAACAAGACGATCATGTGCACGAACATGACTGTGGACATCAATACAGCACCGAGAGTAAGCGGTGAGCCATCGGCAATAATCTAGTACTTATCTCAAAGAAGAGGTGATGCTCGGTACGTAAGACCCAAGAAGAGCGAAAGAGACTGATAAATCGCACGCATCCTGCATCTAAATCCGGTCGCCATCAAAAATGTTTCTGACTGTCTTGTAATGCGAGGAAGGAGGCCTTGTGCCTCGCTTCTGTGACTTACATGACCCGTGACATAAATGACACTTTCGTGACAAATCACCCGGATGACAGGAAACCCTCCTTTGCTGATAGCTGGAGAAATACAATAATGATCAGTCACATTAAGCATAAAACCATTTATTTCTTTCAGAAATAAATCTCATTTAAGCAAAGACGACGTTAACAACTACGAAACCGTAACTTGAAACGTGAATTCCCGCTGCCTTATGCTTTATCGCGCTCATTCCATCGTGTTCAATTGGTCAAATATTGGCAAATGCTTCTGGACTTGAATTTCAAAGGACTGTATCGAAGTTCAGGAAAAGAAAAAAAAGAAAGTTGTTTCTTGTGTTCACGACCTCCACAAAACGTCAAATAAGGCTTTCACGTCATAGTCGTGCAGTGACTACAAAGAAATGTAAAAAAAAAGCGTGATGCTGCTGTTTTACCAATTAATCTAAAACATTAATCACGTGCTCACCTGGTCAGCGGTTTTAGCACCCAGGGTTAACAGCATCTGCGACAGACCTTTAGCGTAACGTCCGGCGTAACGTGTAACTAAGGTGAAACTTTTCACTTTAATAGCCATGTTAGTCTCGTAACATTTACTTCTCCAGCTGAGAATCCTATAAAAGTTTAAGTTTAGAGGAAGCGTGGTTAATGCGTTAAAAACCGCGTTTTACATGCATAAGTTGCCATATTTTTTCACACGAGTGTGTTTTCAGGAGATACTGAAAAATTATCAGTTACATGCAGCAGGTATAAATCGATTTTTATTATATACCTACTGACTTACTCACTGAAAAGTTCATACGCAAATGATTTTCTAGCCAATCAGAGGAGGGAACAATTAAATAGCGACTGGGTACGAGTCTGTTTACTCTGGCATAGGGCCTTTACTTTATTTTGTTCCTAAGACACGATTTCACGAAAAGGTCACGTGCTCACCTGGTCAGCGGTTTTAGCACCCAGGGTTAACAGCATCTGCGACAGACCTTTAGCGTAACGTCCGGCGTAACGTGTAACTAAGGTGAAACTTTCACTTTAATAGCCATGTTAGTCTCGTAACATTTACTTCGCCAGCTGAGAATCCTATAAAAGTTTAAGTTTAGAGGAAGCGTGGTTAATGCGTTATAAACCGCGTTTTACTTGCATAAGTTGCCATATTTTTTCACACGAGTGTGTTTTCAGGAGATACTGAAAAATTATCAGTTACATGCAGCAGGTATAAATCGTTTTTATTATATACCTACTGACTTACTCACTGAAAAGTTCATACGCAAATGATTTCTAGCCAATCAGAGGAGGGAACAACGATATCTTTCAGACGTGAAAAAAGTGATACGTTCAATCAGCCCCGTGAACGATGTTTTTTTATGTGTGACAAAAATGATACGTCTGATCAAAAGCCACAGAGGTGTGTGAGTTTCGGCCCAAAATTCCCGCCTTTGTAGGCGATTGTAGCTTGCAACTTGCAGAGCCCTCGCTTTCCGAGTTGCCTCGCAGACATTCAACGAGAAAAGACCACAAGGCAGAGTTTCTCTCCTAGTTTTTCTCGTAAAAAGGTGAAACTCGTAAATGGAGCTGGACAGTTTCGTAATGTTTCACTGTACACGAAAAAAATTGTGGAGTGCCGGCAAAACAATAGCCGATGGGGAACAGAACGAGAAATCTAGAGAATATTTTAAGCTGAACCTGGAGCAATTTTGTCTACTGTTTATATTCAAATTGGCCCTTCTCCCCAAATTCATTCATTTTTAATTGTACATTGAGAACAAGAGTTAACATGGTTTGTTATTCCTGGATTACCGCCGTCCTTGCATTGCCCTCTTGTAACTTTTATAAGAGGCTTTTTACAGATATACTACGTTTTCGTTGTCATTTTTCTGTGTGTAGTGGTAGATTTTAGCATTTTAGCGCTTTGGAAAGTTTTGAAATAAAAAGAGTAGCAGTATGATGAATTGTCTCACAGTTGAACATGGTATTTACGCACGCACTCGTTGATTTTGTATCAGAAATCTTAATCGTTCGCTGCGCTCAATCGGTCGATTTGTGATACGTCAACCACACGTGGGTAAATACCGTAGGCGCGCAATTTGTATGAAGTATTCTATATAACCCTAACGCTATCGATAGTGAGGAACTAGTAACTTGCGTTGCCCGCTGATATTGCTCAAACTGCAATAGAGAGAAGAGAGCAAAGAATCGAATAAATCAAAACTGATGAAACAACGGTTATGTTGGCAATCAGCGATGTTCTATGATAAAATTTGATTAACGATGTGGGAACACTTTGCTAACACCAAAAAACCCAGAAGCGTTTTAACCGAGTACATAGTGCACGAGAAGGTCAGGGGTGCTATAGCCTCCTTGCCAGGTGCGAAAACGGATGTCACTTCAGACTTTTTCCTTCATTCCCCACCCCTTGGTATCACTCTGCACTTTACCTAAGAGGGGAATAATCAGTCCTTCGAGCGTCATTACATAAAATGCAGTTATTGTACCAACCCAAGTTCTCGTCATTCATTGTATTAAGGAAAACATTTTTTGAAGTTCCCACTCATTTCATTAACGCAAAAGCTTGGTAGGAATGTGAGGGAGGCCGTACAGTCCCAGGAGAACTGCGTAACCATGAGTTTAATGACACGCATAAGGGGAAATCAATTTAGGAGAAAAATTGTGGGCTGATTGCTTACTTACAGTAAACCGTTTTCGACGGAAAATCGTATAATAAATGAAAAGAGTAAACAAACGCAACAAGCTATTCTTCATACTCAGAACAATTTGAACTTTAATGCAGGATACAATTGCTACGGGAAAGATTGCAGCTGTTCCAGGCTAATTCATGAGACTAAAGGTCTTATCGGTTCATAATTCTTTATCATTTAAATATGCTGTTTCAATATTTGCCTAAATTTCAATTTTATTTCCTGACAACCATTACGAGGATAAGCTATGAATACTGTTAGACAATTATCTCTGATAACAGATTAAAGCCATGAATATTTCAAAGATGGATCATTTAAACTGAATAAGTGTCATGCACTGCACAGTGCGTATCATGGAGGAAGAGTAAACTAAGTCGAATCCCTTCCACAAACTCCCTCCCTTCTTATCTTCCAGCGCTTCAAAGCCGTAAATAATAAAAATACTATGATCATTCACTCTCTACTTGAGGCACGTACTGCTATACTGGTACTAATGGTTTATCACTTTATCAAGGTTAAAGGCCATTTCAGTTACAATTACAAGCAAGAAGGATGAGAAAAGTTTCTCATTTTCTATATTTTATTGAGTGCTTTGGTAGATGGGTATAAGATGCCACAGGAAGATGTCGGCGAGCGTGAGAAGATTCTGAATCACCCCTTGTACTTCCTGATGGCGCCTTACAATTAGAAGGTTTGGTGTACCAAGACACCTTTGATTCGTCGTACATATTCGCCCAAGACACCAAGTTGCCTATCCCAGCGTTGCAACTTTGGGAGTACTGTGTAATATCAGTGCTGGTAAGAAGCCGATCCCATACATTCACTTGTGACAAATAAAGCGTGTTGGTACCGATAGCTGCACTGGTTGGTCCAAGGCTTATGACAAACTTTGTAGGTGCTTTGCCATAGGAAAGAGTACCGGTCGCTCCTGCCTTTCCGTCAACGAAAATTTTGACTTCATTTGTTTTGGTAGACCACAGGTGACACACATGATGCCAATTCTTGTCAGCAAGGACACCCATGCTCTGACTGTAAATAAAAAAAGGGATTATTGTAAATTACTTTGAAATCAGTTCATTCATTGGCGTCGCTAGTATGCAATGAAGGCCGATGCACCTTAAGCTTCTGCTGTAAATTGTACAAGCTCTATTCATTGGAACAGTAGTATCTGTCGGTCTTATGGGCTAAACGATGAGGTTCTAAGTACGACCTGTCTGTACAACTTAATTCGGGAAATTCAGGTTAATTTGCACTGATTGATATGGTTTTTCAAGAAATATGATTGGTTCGCTTTCTCGGAATATCAAACATCAATAAATGCTGAATCCCTGAATTTTGATTTGCCTAGCGAGCCATTATACCATGAGCTCCAAATATGGTTAGTGTACGTACGCGTTAGCCAATAAGGTCAGAAGCGAACTGAAGGATTTGTTTGCTGAAAAAGGTAGCGTCCGAGGAAAATAATAAATGTTTGCATAAATGCATATGTCCAGCAAATGGACTGACATCATTGCCTGATGATAAAGAATATCAGTACACGGTCAAAACGACTCAATCAATAACAAATTGACTACACATTCCACTATGAAACGGATTTTCCTCCATCTTTTTGAAGCTGAATAAAATCCTTAAGAATTCAACTTCAGGAAAAGTCGCCCGCATTTGACATATTGAGCGGGTCCAAATAGAAGCTATTACGTTTGAAAGAACGCAAACATTTTCACTGCCGTCGTCGTCGTCCTTGTTTATGGTCCCTATTATCCCAGAGAGAACGTCTTATCAGAGACTGAACACGGAAAATGATTCAAAATACTGTTTTCCGCGCGTGGGACGCATAGTCCAATTGACAACGCCAATTATCGGTTGTACTTTGCTTAAGCCGTTATCGACCTCTTCTCAATTGGTACAGACATTGTCAAACGTCTTTGGGAGAAATGCGTAAAACAAAAGGACCAGTTAAGATTGGTTATTTTTACAAGACGTAAATTTACCTAGTCTTTGGCTTATAAAAATCACCCACTTTTAATCTTATGTTAGTGATCTCGTCTCCTAACAAAGAGTAAGTCAGAGATTTGGGCAAGGAAGCACCACTGATAGTCATTGAAGTAAGAACCAGCTGCACTGCTGTGTTGGAACCTTGTACTCGAACCCAGTTTCCGATTTTCAGCCAGAAGCACAACGTGTACTCTTCAAATGTACCTGTTCCCGGTTTAGCTCCAATCCAAACACCTTTGGCGATGTTCAGATCATATGTGCCTGTAAAGACGAAAATAAGTATCTTTATACCGTGGAATCTTGGCGCAATAATAAACAATGATGATAATGATAATACAATTATAAAATTGCCAGTATAAACAGTGATACATACAAACTATACAGCAAGCAACTGGGATGAGGGCAAATGAGATTCCTTGTTAATACTTTGCGTGGAATCGGTATAGATAACGGGATGAATTAACTAACCCAATACACTTAACAGTTGACGTCTCTCATAAATGTAACAACGACAATTCTCAGCAAACAAAAATGACCAAATATGGGCATTTTACTTGGTTGCTTTTGGCAAGTTACAATTCGATTGTATTTATGTTCACATATTGCTTTAAAAAGTAGCGTTATGGCACCTGGTTTTGGTTTGCACTTGGATGGCTCGGAAAACATCGCTTTCTTATTTCGGACATACATGTCTGCCCAAGAGGCCACATTGCCCGTTCCTGCGTCACATTTCTTGGACAATGTTTTTATTTCGTCGCTGGTGAAGATCCGATTCCAAACATTCACCTGCGAAAGTAAGAATTTATTGCTGCCGATCCATGAACCCGAACGCGGGAAGGATATCTTGAACCCACTGGTAGCCCTGAATTGATAGTTTCCCGTCTTTTTCTGTATTCCATCCATGTAAATTGACCAAGTAGATGTCTTACTGGACCAGGTATGGCAGACTTGATGCCAATTCTTGTCCTCAAGCGACGCAACGTTCAATCTTCAAATGATCCAAAATATACGATATATGTTATTTATCATTCAATTATTATGAGGTTAATATTTTAGATATTTGCTAAATTTATGTCTATCATTTAAAGGTTCAAATATTATAGAAAACAGACAATTCCCATCACCAGAAGACGTGATTGAGTTTAACAAGTTCACTGACATTTGGAAGTAGGCTGGTACCCAAGATACATATTTTCGTCGGGGCAACAAGAGCTAACTGTACATTTCTGCATATTTCAAATTCGTTGTTAGTCACTGCTTCTCACGTGAAAATGGAAATTGGAGATAAGACAATATCCCTAAATAATGAGAGGCTCTTACCCGACCAAAAAAATAGAGAATTGTAGCTCGGGTGTTGGGGTGTTACTGAAACGGGGAACAGGAAGCGGGAAACGAGCACGGGGAACGGGGAACGGGGAAATAAAAAAGGGAACAAAACCTCACTTGAACCCTAGCCCTATCAGTAACTGAAAATTCTAATTATTTATTTTATTTTTTATTTTTCATTTTCCAGTTCCCCGTGTTCGTTCTCCGCTCCCCGTTCCTCGTTTCAGTAACATCCATTGTAGCTCTTATCTTATTGCCTGACAAGTCATCAAACCACAATAATAATCTTGAAACTCAAAGGTCATATAAAACGACAGTTAATCTCGAGAATCTCATTTAAAAAAAAATCTATCAGCGATTTCAAAATAATTCGCTTGTTTAAGAAGACCAAAATGTTTACAAAACCGCTGACAAGACTCGTGCCTCAGTACATGCTAATCAAATCCTTCTCATTCATTCGGGCAATCTCCAGGATCTTTCACGTGACACGTTCTTAAAAAGGTTGAAGTACTATGAGGTGAAATTGAATTTCAAAAGCGCTTCGTTTTACAGATAACGGCCGAACATCAAAGATTGACCAGTTTTTACTGTATTTGTAACCATAACAACTTCATCCGGTCTCATAAATTTTGCTTAGACTTTACGAAGCTGTTCTTCCAACGAGGGCCGGAAAGAGCACAACTGTCGCGAATTAAGGTCTAAGCCAAACGTAAAACTTTACATGAGACGTACCAGACTTAGTGAGTTAAGCTCATGAAAAGTTCGACGTCTGGGTCAGTTAAATTCGTCTAAATGAGTTTGGATCGTGCAACACGTTCTGCTTCAGACGAAAAGAACGTCTGTCGGTGAACATTGTCTTCGGGACAAACGTCGATCTTCACATGCGGCGAACTAAACTAACAAATTATAAATTTGTGTGGTAATGTATATTAATTAGCCTCGTTATTAAGTTTGATCAAGTTCTTCCCTTCGCCTGCTTCGTTCCGCCTGAATCGCGTGAAAAAACCTTGGGAAATTAAAGAAAGTTAACTTTCGTTTCAGCTGGAGTTGATATGTTTCCACACTTGTAGTAACAGTTATTAGTAAAATCCAACTAGTGGTCTATTATCAATGCTGCGTTCTGATTGGTTGAGCTACCACTAGGCTATATGTTATAGCCCACTAGTAGGAAAAAGCGCGGGCTTTTTCGCGGCAAAAAAGGATTAAAGTCTAGCTTTAACTAGCTAAAGTTGGTTCGATATTTTTGACCAACAGGTTGGATTTTACTAAAACAAACATGGCCTCTGAGTCAATAGCCCATTCGGCCTTCGGTCTCATGGGCTATTGACTTAGAGCTCATTCGGGCTCGAGGAATAATTGTTAAATACTAAAAAATCTATAAGCTTTGAAAATAAGTGTGACAGCACAAATAAAACGTATAAAAGAAAGTATGGTACTTTTTCAGATGTGAGCCTGAGTGATTAGTATTGTACAAAAGAGAAATATCAACTTACATCTCCCCAGTTTTGCGATTGTCCCAGTCGAATCTGAAAACAGTAGGTCCTCTCGACTGATATGCGATAGAGTAATCATCCCCACTAACTGCTTTCATTTCAAGTTCTATTAATTCTGCTGATGTGTCAGAACCATCGCTGTTTGCGACCCAGTTCTGCGTCAGTTGAAGCCAAAAACACAAAGTGTACTCTTCAGCTCCAGGTAGGACCTTTCCGACCTTCACCAAATCATTGTTCCGTTCGATTTTAAAATCAAATGATTCTGTGAAAAGAAAAGGAAAAATTAAACAAAGTTGCTTAGAGCACCGCGACATGCGACGTTTAACTTAAAGGAAGATTCTATATCCAGGGTAAAGTCGTCACTCAACAAACATCTCTTACTGCACTTCTCAATAACATGAAAACTGTGAAATTTAGAATGCAGCATAAAATTGCGTTTTTCGCTGCCATCAATCATAATTACGATCACAAGCAACAAGCCTTGAAAAACAGACACAGCCCCCCGAAAATTTTGGGCAACTCAGATTTTTTGGGCAGCAAGAGAAAATTTGGGCAACGCATGTTTTTAAAGACGTCTTCATGTTTATTGAATTATTTTGAAGACCTGAATATTAACCTGAAGTCGGCGTAATAATCCAGTTACTCGCCTAACTAAATGTGATGAGTAATTTTTATATCTATTTTTTTGTTATTCTTGGGCACCGTGCTGTACTGCACTAGCTGGAATGGGCTATCCAGTCATGAATTGATTAGAATAAACTTTCGCATAACTTTCTAGAATCATCTCCACTTGAAGAACAGGGTGGGTCTGAATAAGTCAGTAAAACAAGCGTTTTCCTGGTGTTAACTGAGCCTGAAAACTATCGGATAATGGAACGAATATTCAAATTCACCGGCCAGAAAACGACGGGAAAAGAGTGGATTTTACGACGGGAAAACGCGAGAGAATTTTAGCAAAATGCCGCGTTTTCGAAAATTAACCGAGGGTTTTCCGAGACGGTGAATGCCATATTTCTTGCCGTGAAACGGATCCAAATCTGCCAATGTCATATCACATCCATTGAATTCCAAACTATAATGGTCCCGTTTTGCTTGTTTGTGTGTGCATTTTTTTTAAGACTCAATTTGCGCACTAAAATTGCTTCTTGCTAGTAGTCTGTTGCTACGCGATCACAATGAAAGATGGACATGTATTAAAACTTGACAAAATTGGGCTGATGTTTTCAGGTTTTGAACTGAAGCAAATTTTACTGAAAAAAAATCACAAATTTAAGCACTATTAATTATAATGATTGTTTCCTGCTGATATTTGTTTCTTTAAAAGTCATACCTCCACTAGAGCATTTGGTGTACGGGTAAAGGTACTAAGTGATGACAGTAATCTCTTGTGACTTCATCATTTTTATCACATTCTCTTTAGTAACAGGTATGTTACTTTGATGTACCCTCCACGCGAGATTACCTCTCGAAAGAAGCCATATTCCCAAAACAAAAGGTCATTTTTTTCCAGCCAAAACACTAAAGTTGAGGTGTCTCTTGTAACAACAAACACCTCCGTAAACGAAAACCAAATCTTGGCATATTAATTGGTTGGTTGCATATGGAAATTTCTACTAACCGTATTTTTGTTGTGAAAAAATTTAAATACAATGATCAATTAGCACCTGGTGGTGGAGGGGGAGGAGTTGTTGGTTTTGTAGTTGGGGTAGTGGCTGTTGTGGTAGGAGTAGTCGATGTTGTGGTAGGAGTAGTCGTTGGAATCTCTGCCTTCGCTTTGCACTTGGAAGCCTTGGAAAACATCGCTTTCTTTTTTGCGTCATACATTTCTACCCAAGAGGCGACATTGCCCACACCTGCGTTGCATTTTTTAGACAGTTTCTGTATTTCTTGGCTGGAGTAAAATTTATCCCAAACGTTCAATTGGGAGAGTAAAAATAAGTTAGAGCCGAGTTGACTATAATGTGAAAAGTATATCTCGAAACCACTGGCAACCCTGAAATCATAGAGACCCGTCCTTTCTTTGCTTCCATCTAGGTAAATTGCCCAAGCAGATGTCCTGCTAGACCAGGCATGGCACAGCTGATGCCAATTCTTGTCTCCAAGCGACGCAAATTCAATGCTGCAGATGATCCAAAATATAATAAATAAGTTTGTGAGCATTTCCATCTCATTTTACTAAATTCATCATTTAAAGGTTCTAATATCATGAGTGACAAATTACTCCTCGATCTTGGCGCAAGCCTTCAGCGTCAATTTATAATTTCACAGGTGAAATTACAAAATTGCCACGGCAACGTTCCTTACGTCTTAGCGTCAAATGGCGTCAACGATTGAAAATTTATGAATGAAGATGTCAGTGCATTAAAAGACGCTTTAGAAATCTAAACACACAAAAGAGCAGACCAAGAAGAATTCTATTATGTATTTTGTCGAAAAATTCGGAAAATTATGAACTGTAGCCAAAATCATCAAGCTCTAAATTTTTCAGATTAACTTGCTTAAACCCACGATTTTGAGCCTATTTTTTTGTCACCCATGTTATTCTGATAGGAAATGGTGACGAGTGAAATAAGGAAATAATTTCACGCGCGTTTGGTCCAAATCCTAATAATTTTCCGACTCACCATTTGATTACATATGCCAATTTAATACATGTAACCTCACTTGTGGTAATAGTTAAACGATTCTATAAAATAAACAAATAATATGCTAAAAGTAAAGTCTATAAAAGTATTAGCATGGTACTTTTCATTGATTTGACTTTTCTAAGGATGAAAAATTGAACAAAAAAGTGTCTTACTACACCCAAGGCCTCTGATTGTCTCAGTCGATTCTTAATGATGTAGGTCCTCTCGACTCATATGCGATGGAGTAATCACTTCCGCTAACTGCTTTCATTCTAAGGTCTACAAAATCTGCAAACGTGTCCAAGCCATTGTTATTTTCGACCCAGTCCTTCGCCAATCGTACCCAAAAGCACATAGTGTACTCTTCAGCGCCCGGTAAAACATTTCCATGCAGGAGTGAATTGCCTTGTTCAACTTTATAATCAAACGAGTCTGTTAAAAGAAATAAAACGTTTCTAGCAACTGCTTGCAAATGCTAGCCACACCAAGACCTCAATAGTTGAGAGTGAAACTTAATAATGAAAAGGGAAGTTTTAATTTCATTCCTGACCAAGTCGGAAGCGCATAACAAGGAAACATTAGAAATGGAATTTTTCCATGAACCAGTTTCTAAGGACAGACATCGTTTTTTAAGGAGAGAATTGAATCGTACCCTCCGCACTAAAATTTCCAAAAACAGTTAAAGTGTCTAGTTTTTGCTCTGATCAAAGAGACGCCTAGACGTTTCCAACAAAAAGTATATTTTACTTTTAAATAGAGGCTGGTAAACTTTTAATTTAACTCGCCACGATAAAAGTTACTTTTTCTTTAAAGTAATTTTAAAGATAGTAATTTGCCTTAAGCACAAATGAAATCTTCTTTGTTATTTATAACAGCATTAATTTCTCTTGAAGTCGACAAGGGAAATGATCAGAAATGCGGTGCAATTAAAAAGCTCGCGAGCTTGGGTTGGTCCTTGAATTAATTTTCTCGCAGACGCCTGTGTATTGTGTATTACTGGGGTAATGTATATATAATGTGTATTGTGTATTACTGGGATATGAAAAAAATGCATAATAGGGGCCCGTGTGAGCGGATCCTTCCATGATAGAGATATTCTCAACATTACTGGATAGGAAAAACCGGGCTAAGTGACGTTGTTGGACAGTGTTAACACAGTCGTTGGATTATGTGGAATCAGACTCAAAAAGGTCAGTAAATCTTTCAAAGCCGTTTGAACATATCCAAAATACGCCGGCAATGTTACGTTGGATTGATAAACCATGGGTCTGTCGCATTGAAGAAAGAGACAACACCATACCGACACAATCTTTATTCTTTTTCAGCGTCTTTGGTGCCAGGCATTCTTCCAAACATTGATTTTCATCAGGATCCTTTGCAAAACGACACTTGTTACACTTCTTGTCATTGTTTTTCTCTGAGCAACCTGAAAAACAGCACTACACTTATTTTTTTTTCAGCCAAAAAAAGACGAAATGGAAATAATCAACAAGAACAAGCGTCAGCATGTAAGCTGCTGATGAAAAGGCCAGCAAAATCTGACTAATGCAGTCACAAGAGGACTGGTGCGGACCATACCGAAGAAAAAAAAACTTGATTATTATAATTACTGCTACAGATTTCCCCGCAATATGACCTCTGAAGAAAGAGCATAAAAATTCCATACTGATAACGCGACCCTCTCCAGATCTGAGTTGTGTAGCGTCATCATTATGGAATTTCTTCGTTCATTTAGTTCCTCAGAGGTCTGATTTCGCGGGGAAACCAATGCTGGCGTTGCAGAATTTCGGCTCTTCTCTCAGGCTAGCCTATTCCGTGGAGAAGGCTTACGATTTTAGCAGTTTATTTTCATCGGAATATTTGCATCATTTCTTGGCAACAATTTGACAACTAATCGTAACAATTTACACCGCACAGAAGCAATAAACCTGCTAGCAAGCTCTCAGGGGCGTGAGCACAATTTTCGCTGTGCCCCCGGAGCACCCAAGGAAGCTTGCTAACAGGCTAAGAAGCAATACAATAGAAACGCCTTCCGAAAATAACCTACTTTCAAATGGATCACAGGCTCTGTGGCAGCCCTCCATGCACAAGTTCTCTTTCGCATCCTTTACAGTCTTTTCTCTGCAGGTCATTTGGAATAGTTTACGGGATACAATATGGGCATCCACGATTCTCGCGGCAGCACCTTCGTTTCCAAAAGCATAGAATCGAACATCAAAGTTCCTGGTCCTGTCCACCATACTAAGGAAGACATTACCAGTATCTCTTGTGCCTTTACTTTTACCATATTCAATCAAAGTTCTTTCGCCAGAGACAGTGATGCACACGAAGTAAGCATCATACAACGATTTCGCACCCAACCCAACTGCGTCTACATTTGTCACATCATGCTTATAGTCTCTGGCATCCTTGCCCTGCAAACAGGAAAAGTGAAGCCTTTCAGCCCCAATATCCACATAGAAATTCTCCTCACTGGTCTCCATACATTACCTTGAAGAATTAGTTGAGAGCATTTGCTAAAAGATAAAATTATTTTCGCTTTGGTGCTCAGTTTATTAATTCTAAATTCTAAATCCTCTTGAGAAGTATTGATATTGTCAAGACAAAATTGATGTTAAGTTCATTTTGTTTACAATGCCGACTGGTCGTTCTCATTCGCTACGGAACTTTTAAATGACAAAATCACAGCTTCAATTGGTGCGAATCACACATGTCTCCCAAGCATTATATCAAACATTGCAAATGACGTAATTACAGAATACAGTCGTCTCTCGTCGCTCCTCGCCGTTAGGGACGATTCGCAGGAAAGACGTCTGCGCAACTGCCAGTTCCATACTGATGTGGTGAAATCTTTAATTTATGAATCTGGTCAGGAAAGGTATTGTTCACGAATGGAAAACAAAAGGTCACAAAGGTGAAATGGAACCTCGTGTAATACATTCTTCTTTAGAAGACGCATTTGAAGCTATAATTTGAGTTTTCCTGGATCTTGATCGCAGAAGTACACAAAACGTTACCATAATCGACCAGGAGAAACATAAAATTGAACAAATTTTTATTTGGAACCCGTTGACTACCGGATTAACAACGTAAACATTGATTTACGTCGACAGTTTGGAATTTCTGTCGCTGAGGCAAACCGAAACGTCCCTAACGGCGACGAACGAGAAGAGAGGGCTGTATTCGCAGGCTATCAGTTGCAATCTTCTTCCTAATATGTCCATCAATGTCTCCTTTTGTATCAGCTGTGCTACTTATACCTTTTTAACGTTTTCAAAGGTTTTATTTATGTTTAACTCGATATGGTGGTAGTTCAAACTGCTTGAATTTTGATAAATTTCTCCACACAGCTCCAGTAGATTAATTTCGATTGTCATATCACAATTCAACGATAAATAATTCACTAGGTAAGAGCCTTTTAAGGCTCTTAAAAGTTTGTTTATCAGTCGTGAGCTGCAATTTTCGCTTGCGTTGCATTTGCATGCCATGTAAGCACCTAAGGAATCGAAAATAATGGTGTAAAATCATCAAACGTTGTTGAATTAACATTTCAGATCCATTTAAACGTGTTAATGGACATTGTTGAATGCTGTCTTCAATCTGACCTAGTGTGAATTTTGTTTCTCGCACAAATACTCATTAAATTTGTTTTATGGAGGCGTTAGTTTGGGATATTCACTTTTAGTGCGTTTTCGCTTTCATCGACGTACTGAATAAGTTTGACAGTTTGTTGCTTAACAGTTTAAGTGTTTCTTAACAGGATCAATGCCTACCTTAAACATCCTGACTATAGTCGGTTCTATTACGACGCCGTAGCGATTTTCTTCATTTCCTGGCTTGGCAGAAAACAGAACTTTAATTGGTCCAGTTGATGCTGCTGTAAAATGGAGACACTTTCCGTCCACATTTTCGAGCTCCAAACGAAAGGCATTGGACCACCTGGGCTTGCATGGAGGGGGCGGGGGAGGGGTTGTGGGATTGGGGTCCGCTCTTCTGACCGCCTTTCCTTTAACCAATTCTTCAATACGAGCCAAACGCATTCCTTTAAGATCAGAGGGAATCGCAGGAAAAGTTTTCTTGGCAGATTTGAAATCGTCTTCTTCGAGAACAAGGCTACCGTCTTTTTCTTTGTACGTCAGTGTAAGACCAAATATGGATATCTTATGCTTGCGCATATCAGTGACCTTTTCACCAAAACCGCTGTACAGATGGAAGACATTTCTTTCATCGCTAGTGTACCACTCTCCGCCTCTGTTTCAAAGAAACAACAACTAAGACTACTTATTCAGAACGCTAGGTTTCTAAGACTATGTCTTGCTTATATTGGCTACTTCTGCACTCATACCAACCAAATCTTTCCTGTGACCTGACCATATACCACAAATGACCTTATGATCATGAATTGGTCCGGGTTTCAATTGATATCAAAGCATTCTCAACTCTTTGTTGACATAAAAAATGGACTTCTCGCTTAACCCTCATCCACTTCATTTCCATCGGCAAATATCTGCTCTAATATAAGCATCAAATGGAGTCAAAATCCAGTTTTCCAATTTTGTAACTACTATTCTCTTACAGCTGTAGTTATAAAATCCGCGTTTTTCCAACATTGCAATCATTGATTCTAATTCCAATTTCTTAAACTCAAAGTGGTGCAATGAAATAAGACATTTTCTATTTCGGAATAGTATTTATCTGATCATGTAGATCTACCAGCAGAATAATAGTGGCGTGTGAATTGATTTGAACCTGCCAAATAATTTGCTATAAAAAGAACAATCAGTCAACCTGTAGTGAAGCTTCCTCGTCATATTTCGTTTGATGCTGTAAGCTTCGTGTATCGGGTTAATCAAGTCATCCAACATGTCAAATGTCACTTGAAAAGTTGCTCCACTGTTGATGAGGTCTTTCCACGACAGTGGTGCCTGATCAACCAGCGACTCAGTGAATTGAGGCTCGTCTCTCCTGCTTATTGTGCACTTCTCTAGTTTTACTTCAGACAAACTAATGGGGCCCTATAGTGTACGTAAAAATATATGAGAACGCCAAAAATTCTCACGTACAATCTTTCGCCTCATGTAAGGGAATCCGGATTCTCAATTCCGGACTGCGGGAAGTTTTTGCTTGTCGAATCCAGAATCCGGGAAATATATTTGCTTTCGGATTCCGAAATATTGGGCTTTAGAATGCGGAATACAAATCAAGGAATCTGGGAATCTTACTATTAATTGTAATTCGGAATCCTAGTTTTAATGACAAAGAATCCTGAATGTAGTACCTCGAATCCGGAATCCAAGGGGTAGAATCCGGAATCCAAGACTGTCTTGGATTTCCTTACTTGGGGCGTAATGTTGATATATTTGCTGACTGTTCAGAAAACGAGACATAAGAAAATGAATTGCTAAAAATTACCGCGCTATTCAATCACATGTGAACTCTGAAATATAAAAGACAGGCTTATAATTGCGCTTTCGCTGCCGTCAAACATAAGCAGTTGAACCTTGGAAAACAGAAAGACACAAAACGGATCGAAATTCATCAATCAGAAAACGCAAAACATGACTCTTTGAACTCGATAAAGTAAACTTCTGTTTCCTAAGAGTCAGGCAAAGATGATTGTTGGCAGCGAAGAAGGCAAGCGTTAGTTCGCTTTTGAACATCAGAGTTGACGCGTGTTTTTGAAATGGGCAGTAGGAAAATATTACCTTTCATTGGCCAGAAATGTCAAAATGTTTCTCACAAAAAGACGAACTGAAACTTGTTTGCAATACTACTTAGGTTTCTTGAACCCAGTCCTTTCAAATAAAGTTAACCTTCAAAAGTGCAAGAACTGTCGCACAATCAGCTGGATGTGCCATCCAAGTAAAGTCACGCTAAAGAGGCTGTAAAATAGGCTGAGGCCCCAGGCAGAGACAATCATCACGGACGAACAAACAGGGGCAGGACAGTACAACACGGTGATAACAGAACAGCCTGATTCAGCCTCAGGATACCGTGTGAGACGTACCTCCAATATCAACAAAAGCTCTCTGTCAAAATGGTGAGTTTGACAGAGTACGGCACGAAGTCCTTTGGTCTACAATGAGGCTTTACAAAAGTGATGTCAACCTGATTCCAATCAAAGACATTGTTTACAACAAGGGTACCTGTGCAGTTCATCTTAATGGTGGAACAAGAAATTGGTTCAGAACGACGGTCGGAGTCAGACAAGGCTCTCTGCTCTCACAGATCTTAATATCTTTCTGGAGAGAATTGTGAATAACCCACTGGAAGATCACAAAGGAACAGTCAGCATTGGAGGCAAAACAATCGCTAACTTATGTTTTGCCGATGAAATTGAGGGCTTGGCAGGAAAAGAGGAGGAAATACGACTGTAGCTTCTCTCGCTGATCGCCTGGATAAGACCTGTTCTGCCGTTTGCATGGAAATTAGCGTCGAATAGACCAAGCTGATGACCAACAACACAGATGGCATCAGCATTGACATAAGAGCAAACGGCAAAAATTTGGACCAACACGACAATTTTAAGTACATGGGTGCCGTCACAGATCAAGGTTCCAAGCCTGAAGTACCGTCCAGGTTTGCACAGACGACAGCAGCACTATCGAAACTGAAGACCATCTGGGACAAAAAGAATATCTCCCTTAGCTAAAAGATTAAACTGCGCTGCCTGGTTGTCTTCGTACTCTTGTACACCTGCGAAACCTAAACATTGACAAAGGACATGCAGAATAAAGCTGAATAAATTGCACGCCACTGAGATAAGATGCTTTCGGAAGCTGCCTAGTATCTCATACAAAGACCACATTTTTGACATAAACAAGGAATCAGGCAAGCCATCGGGACCTATGATGACATCTTATCCAACGAACAGTTAAAGTGGTTTGGGCATGTGTCAAGATCAGCAGCGCTTGCCAAGACAGTCTCACAAGGAAAATTGCAGGGAAGAAAAAGAGAAAGACAAAAAATGCTCTGGGATAATTATATCCCTGACTGGACATGAAGGACTGAGGTTTTGTGAATCCCTAAGGGAGTTTACAAACATATTCATGAGGAAAAGGTTGGAAAATCCGTGGTGCCCCAACGGTGATCACGACTACCGGATAGGTGCAGGTGTAGGATGATAATTAAGGCTCTTGGCAACTTGTAAATCCATTACATATCTATTCTGCTATCAGTAAAATATACAACTTCGGCCACAAGGCGAGTCCTTTGTTTTTTTTTTCTTATTTACCTCTTCCATATAAATTTCAATGGCTCTGCCCAAGCTTGTCCGTCTTGCCATTATCGCTTCTTCTAGTCCTTTTCGGTTATCATATTGGCAGTATACTTTTGTCTTCTTTCCTTTAGGCGAATAGTTGTAGTAAAATCTGCGCCCATCATCTTCCGTTTCCATATCTGCTACCTTTCCTTCGCAGCCCCAGGTCACCTGAGAAATATTAAAAAAAAATCCACCAAGAAGCACTGTAACAGCTTCAATATGTTAAGGTTGTCCCTGTTGTCCTATGGTTTGTATAAGCAAACACTGTATCGAAATGCTTGTCAAGACAGGTGCTAACTGAGACAACTTACGAAAAAGTCTGCACGAGAACGAGAAAAGAGACCGACTGTGGCTGTTTACAAGAAGAGATAGTAACCCATCTGCGAAGGCTTCCCTGAAAAGCGGGTAAGAGATAAGAGATAGTTCGGGTTACGTTATCACTGGGTCAACTTTAAACAAAAAAAATGATCGAAAAATGGATTAGTTTCTAAGTAATTACATTAGTGTAACTACCTACCTTTTCTTCAGGAAACAAGTCATGCGATCGGAAATTCACCAGATCAACAATCGACCCCATCAAGAATTTAAACGCTTTGGGGTACCGTGGAATCGACTGCAACCACTCCTTGAACTCTGCCTTGAATGTTGGTGAATAAGCATCGGAGAGAATGGAGGCAATTTCTTGGCTTCCGCCCTGGGCCATTATTGACGTAGAGGAAGTCTTCACTTGCTCGCGCTGTTGGTACCCGTTTTTTTGGCTATATTTAGCTCCAACACTCGAGAACAGAGTCTTATACTCCATCTCCATTTCTACAGCAAACTCTGTCTTTTTTTGGCCCTGTTTAGCCTGTTTTGTCTTCCTTATCTGAAGTTGTCCTCCGAACTTTGCCGACTTGATGTAGTGTGTCCCCCAGCGCTGAATGAAGTTCTCTGTCGTCGCAAATAGAATGTGTCACATATGCATCATGTTACACTCAAACTCAATTGGTCTAAAAACTTGGAGGTAAGCTTCATTATAAATGTTGTGGTTCAATTTTATCCTTGGTTTAAATTTTATTTTCTTTTGTTTTTGGGTAAGGTAATGTATGATAATTTTTATTATTTTGTATACAAAATCACAACGGACCAATGCACTATAACTACAAGCCGACTATCGCAAGGACATAGGACTTCCACGAGCTTCAAGAGCATTTGTTTCATAGCCTAGTTATAAGACAGGGAACTATACGTTTTTGTTTACAAATCAAGACCTCTACTGGGTACTCTCTGGTAAAATAAGCCCTCCATGCCACTAATACCATAAACCGTGAAAATAACAGCGAAAACGGGGCAGACGCATGTTTTCCCAAGGATTAAACACTGCAACAACCAATCGCTCTCATTGAATACCCCTAAGAGAACAATTCCTGGCATGAACAGTGAGGACCAAAGTCGACCAATATTATTATCAGTGACGATCGTAATACACCACTCACTCCTGTTGCCGCAGCCAATCGCCACCATCATCTGATGAAGTTTAACAGGATGGGGTCCAAACGTCGTATTCAATATCAAAGAGATCAACGTGAATGGAACGATGAATTCTCTATAGGAAAGCTACACAAATTAGTAGCAACTGTTACACAATACTTGCCGATTGCTCAAAACCCTCGGTTGACCTGCTTCCATATCATCTTATGCCTTTTTTCTAATAGCTTACAAAGGAAAAGCATTTTGACATGTCAAGATGATTTAACTATAGCATTTTCTACTCACGATATTTCAATGGTGCTCCAGCCTCAAAGTAGGAATTTGGTAAATTCATAAATTCACGCAGGAAAGACAAACTCAAATCCTGTGGTTTCACCTCGTCCATGAAAATCTCATACCTAACAAGGGAGGAAAACATTGATAAAGTCGATTGAAAAGACTCTTGACTAAACAGTGACTAAATTCATTCATTGGGATACATATTACACTTTGTCTTTCTTTAAGGTTGGTATCTTTTTCACAAAAATTACAAATTGTACTGGACAACAAAACACTAAATTGAGAAATATTAAAAAGTTTGGACGTAACAGTAACTAGTAAAATCACGATCGAACCTACTAACAAGATAAAACATTTCAAGATTCCTAAAATGGCATAATCTCCAAGTCTATACCGCTGGTTTAAACCAAACCGTGGAAATTTCAAGGCAATATTTGCTCCGTTCTAACAGCTATTGTACAGAACAAAGTCGAAGGGTGCCGATGAGCACTCACCTTGCGCTGCATTGAAAATTCTATGACTTACCTATCGACGTCGACATACAGAACAGACAGAAATGTCTGACTCGCTCCAGACGAAGAGCTTCCATAGGCCTCCTTCACACCAGCATAGAACCCAAAAATTGAACCAGAGACACCTGCTTCCTGCTGGATGTAGCTTCGATATTCCGACCGACTCTCAAAAGTTAACATGTAAGCAGAGGTATCGTAAACACCATGTACGTTCATTGTGTCTGGTACATCTAGGTCGTCGTACCTACAAAAAGGCAGTTAGAACAATATCTTAAAATTATCATAGAGTAACACTGAGGAAAACATTTCTCATGTTCGTCATCGCGTGGCTTAAACGGTCAATTTGGATACTTGGGATGACATGAACATATCGACAGATCACTACTTTACCAAGATAGTGAACAGTAAATACTTATAAAAGAGTCTTCAATTTATATTGAAAATATATATAACGTACAAAAATGAAGGGGAAAAGTATACTTTGGAAAGCAAAAACACCTCTAAAGAATATACTTACGATGCTTTGTTCTTGCAGTTTCTTTGTACTATACTCATTTTTCTGGATTCTGGACTGTATTTTCCTCGACCATCAAACCCAACTCCCATAAAAGCGGCTCCATCAATCATGTTCTGGGCAAAGTGAACAATGGTTATAATTAATTCATTAGTCATTATATTTTTTCGCACAAAATAAATGCTAATTTATCTGCGGTATAGTCACCCATGAGTGCTTATCCTTATAACTAAGATGAGTACGTACCGAACACCTACATTAGATTATCACCAGCCGGGTTTCACGGAACGACTGTTTTATAAAGTTTATCATAATGACAGTGATATACCACAGTTAGATGACTCTCGGTTATATAATCTGTACCCTAAAGCCTACTGGCCTCGAACACTTTTCTGAGTAGATGCAGGCCGTTCTTAGAAAAGCCGCCTCCTGAACCAACTCTACCTTTGCTGTGACACCAGTCGGGCTTTGGTCTGTTTTTCGGGTAGCAAACAGCTTTTACATAGCTCCTGAAGATTGAGAAGGCTCTGCAGGGATTATTCCACTCCGGGCCAATTTGCGAGGACCGGGTGGTGGTTGGCTCAACAACCTAGTACATATTGAGGCCCTTGTCCAAGGGTTATGGGCTCCTGCCTGCTCCCACAGGGAAGGGAATGGACGCCAGGGCAATATGGGAGGATTCCCAGGCAGGAAATTCAACATCCAACATCAATACAAAGAACTGTACTAATTATACCAGTATATACGGGTGTCGCATGTTATTTAACACGCGAAGATTTTCTTTTGTGCAATTTATACGAGAAGTTCGCCTCTTCATTAAGACGCGGCTTCTGTAAGTACTCATATAAATGGCCAAATTGTGATATTAATGAGCTTTAAATATATAATAATAACGGCGTGAGGGAGGCTGTTCTATTCTCAGGGTTGTTCGCTTACAGCAGGTTAGACTGTGGCATAGGTTACTGACTCTAGTTAAAAGTTCATTAGATCGTTTTAGCTTGTATGTTTTATTTTCGCATATCAGGCCATGCGATGTTACTTTAGAAAACTGTTTCATTCAAATTTCGTCCTATCCGTGTGATAATAGCCTGTTCCAGGCTCTCAGATAGTAGAGATGACGCGCAAGTGTACGCAAAAAAGGAGGCGGCTGCGGAGGGCAAAAGGATGGGAGTTTCCGCTCGTTTTATTTTCGTGATCCCGCTTGCTCAATTTCGCAAACCCGACTATCTCGGAGCCTGGAACAGGCTAGTGTGATAATCCAAAATTTATGAAAATACAAATGACAGAATTTTCCTCGAGAACACCACTTAGTCTGAATTATTGTGAGAACAAAACGTACAAGCAGGGAAAGGTCTAGAGTAGTTTCTCTTACAAGGCAAATAGGTGAGGCAAACTTGGCGTTATAGCATGGATCACTTGGAGTGTAATTGGTGCCGTAGCAACCGTTCATCATAACGTATCCCAGACCCATGTTCGGAGCGTAAGTAAACGGCTGCTCTCCATGTTCCTTCTCTGTTTGTTCCGTGTCGGAGATTGACGCACCCATATGGTATCCCGGGGGTACGAACATATCCGGGGTACTCCATCCTTTATCAGGCATGATATCAAGTTTGATCTGTGAATAAATAGTTTGTATTGTGAGTAACAGAAGTTCGCGTAGTAACTAACATAAAAATTCAGACAAGACTAAAACCGGAGCTTCTGTTCACGACTAACCGTTTACTTCACACAATAAACTTAACATTAGTAGTTGATAATTAGCCTGAAAAAGCAGAAATATTTTTCGTATCTGTTTCACACGCCCTTCCTCAGCGTGTCAAACCTGAAAAGTGGAAAAAGGCGTTTGCTCTTGCAGGCTAATTGATTATGTTATGGAAATCAATACCTCTGACACAAACAATTAGAACTTTAGCCCATGCACGATCCGATGAACAACTATAAACTGTTATGATTCGTTTAAGTGGTATGGCTCAGCAGATTTCCTAACAGCATCGTATTTCCTTTTCATAGGAGCACCTAGTATTTCTAAGTACTTCAGCAGTGATCTGTAATGAGTAGTACTTTATAGCACTGTAGTAAAATCCAACGAGTGGTCCATTATCAATGCTGCGTTCTGATTGGTGGAGCAACTACTAGCATATATGTTATGGCCTACTAGTAGCGAAAAGTGCCGGCTTTGAAAACCAAAACAATGGCGGCTGAATCGCGTTTTGCTAGCTAAAGTTGTTTTGCCTCGATATTTTTGACCAACTAGTTGGATTTTACTAAAACAATTATTCCTCTCGCCCTCATGGCCTCTGAGTCAATAGCCCATTCGGCCTTCAGCCTCATGGGCTATTGACTCAGAACCCATTCGGGCCCGAGGAATAATTGTTAAATATCTTATTGGTCAGTTTAGTGTGTATCGTGGGATATTTGTGCGAGTAACGCTGTACTTTGGCGAGCCCTCGGATAAGTATAATACAAGAGACGAGTACAAATATTTCCTGTTTAGGTACAATTATGGCAAAGAGAAAACATGCCACTAAGTGCAAGAGATTCACGAGATGCGTAAAAGCCAAAAAGAAGCATGGATGGACAGAGCTGAAAAAAAAAATAAAACCAAGCTGCCTTCGGCAAAATTTGAAACAAGTCTCCCAAACGTCTATTTGTATGCAAGAATTAAACTTGGCAATTTAAGTTATAGAGCTCTTAATTCTTAAACGCCGAAATCGCCAAAATGGAAGAACTATACTTCATCGTGATAATTTTTTTGAACTTATACCACAATGCTCTTTTGTACGTAGATTTAATCCATCATCACCACTAACTCCCTAATACGCACTTCTTTCGCCAAAAACTTGGAAGCCTTCTCTTGAGCTTCGTCGATAATTTTGAGCTGTTTGTCCACCAGTTTGCCCATGACTTCCAGTCCTTTGTCAACAACAGCTTCCTGAACTTTGGGGTTTTTTAAGGCTGTCATTGCTAGTGCAGGAAGCGCTTTTTTACTTCCAGTTTCTGTTTGGCCTGTAAATAAACATATACATGTAAGAGATGTGAACGCTATCTTTTGTCATTGAGCTCTAGACGTTTCTCGTCAAGTGACGCGAAGTCGTCTTGTTGCTCTTCAGAGTTTACGTACTCGGTGTTGATTAACGACTTCGTACGTTGTGTAATGTGTAATATGTGATGTCGTGGATTAGTGGACAACAAGACGCGCCCTGTGTACATTACATATTAAAATGTTCACAATAAGCTCTGACGACAGCATACAAGGGCGCCACTGGCAGCCGTTATCAGTTCATTTATGAGCTTAGTGTAACCCACCCATAGTCCATAATATGAATGATGTGTGACGCGTGAAAGATAGACTACACCACCGGGAACTTCCCTACTCTTTTCGACCAGTAGTGTGGGTCCTTTTCTCCCCTTTCGATTTGACTAATAAAAGAAGGATGAAGGAGAAGGGGCCAACGGCTTAACGTCACCGCCAAGAAGTTTAGAGATGGTTCAGGCAAAGTGCAACTTGTAAATATTGTGATAGCACAATACAACCTCTGTTTGTCTGATTATAACTTCTATATTTTTGGTCTTACAAGAAAGTAAGCTTACAAGGAACGTTCCTCTGACGGTGAAAATATTCCTTTATGTATGTATGTGCATTACTGGTGTCTTTTACTTCTACAAACCTTAACACAGTCAATTTGAAATTTAAACCCTTTCAACTAAAGTCACTAAATTAACCGAATATATTTAGTTAAATGTTAATTCAAGGACGCACCTTCTCCGGTATTGCTTTGGCTTTTTTCCCCATCTTCGGCTAGCGTGTCTTCTACTGCGCTACCATCATCTTGTTCTTTAAACCCACTTGAATCTTCAGCCTTATTCTCGCCCTGCAGGACTGCAGATTCGCCTTTTTAACAAAAAAAAATATATAGAAAATGAATATCACAGTTAAAACTGAACGACAAAGTCTGAGTTATACATAAAGTGGTATTCTCCGGAATCCGGTCAAAAAATGACTGACTGTATCAGTCAATATACGTTGACATTTCATGAACCTGCATTCTTATTGGCTGCTCGATAAAAATCCCCAGCTTGTCTGGTGTTTCTTTATAACTCGACGAAGACCTGCCCTTATGCAGTTATATCTCTTTTTGCAGTTGGAGAGTTGCATGAATTCTCCTAGAGACTTACCCGAATCAAACAAATGCTAAAGTTTTGTCAAAATACGCCTTGAAATAGTTTGGAGGAAAACCGTTCGAAGATTCGAAGGTGTTCCCTCTTCTTCAGTGATCTGAAAACAATCACACCATTGTTTTGTTTGCTGAAGTGCTTGTTCAGTTTTGAAGTTTGTTCACTTGTTTTTCTTTTGCAAGTTCACGTTTTTAAGGTCTCCCGGTCGTAATTCAGGTCCTAAGTTTTGAATTAATTTGTACATTCATTACATTAAACTAGAAATACGATTATCGCAAATTTTTTAGTTCCAAATAGGAATTGAACGCACGACATCCAGACACTAGTCGGATATGTAGCGATATATATAATAGCGGGGCTCCCGCGCGCGCGAAGCGCGCGTGGGACAGAGCCCCATACCCATGGAATATGGTCAACCTCTTTTCGTTTGGTTGTCACGTGATTGACCGAGCGTACGTACGTACGTACGCGTCTACAGATTGTATGGGTGGGGTAGGGGAGACTATCAAAAGGAAGGGAGGGGTGTCTCAGGCGTGTCTTGGCAAGCCCACATCTTTAATATAGGACATTAACAATATGGTCAATTGACAGCTGTCCCAACAGGATAGCCACTGACCAGTATCCCATGACCATATCGCGGGCTCATGTGTCAACTCATCGAGGTGACGTGATTTATTTGGAAGCTGTCCGCTGACCAGTTAACTGTTTTACTAGATCGCGAACAACGTTCAATCTCATACTTTTACTAGTTTGGGAGCACAGGAAAACTGATAATGCACACATATTGGACATCAATGTTTTGATCAATTGACAGCTGTCAAAACAGAGTACCCGCTGACCAGTATCACTTGACCGTATCGCGGGCTCAGGTGTCGACCCGTCGAGGTCAAGTATTTTTGAAGTTATCCGCTGACAAGTAAACTAGTTTTCAAGTGATCGCAGGCTCAAGTTCAATTTTTTTTTCTTAATTCATATGAAATATGCTGTGTTTATGTGCTGCACAATTAAAATTTTGATTGCAAACTGACCTCGGACGTGAAAATTCAGCCAGCTGTTACAGGCAGGGAAGACAGTTGCTTTTGTTTTTTCTCACAATGGTCACGCGTTGGTCACGCTCTACGTCCAATTTTTATGCTCTGATTGGTCAAAATTTGACATGTGAGTTCATGCGCAAAATTTATGCAGCATCTTGAATCTTGTTTACTTTAACAGCTGAAGCTGACAGAGTTTTGTGTCAACTTGTGATGTTTTTAACTGTCTTTTTCCACTGGATGTACAAAATGAAATTCAGCTGCTATCAGGAGTCTTCTGTTACTCATGGCTAGTTTGTTTATTGGGTTTTTGGTTGAGAAAACGTCGCTTGTCAAAGTCGGAAATCCGATTTCGGATGGCATCATTTTCGTTTTCACCTTGCTTGATGCGTAAGAGGATTGCAAAGTCTGAAGCGATACTGACTTTACCTGATAACTTTCAGGAGCTGCATCTCGAATGGTAAGACAGAGAAATTATTGTATTTCATGTTTGTTTTTTGTATCTAATTTAATGAAGTGAAGCGTAGTTTATGCAGGAATTTAGTTTATGCGCGTTTGTAAGTTTTGAGACAACGATCTCACCGAGTATCTGGTTTGATATAATCTTACAGAACTTTAAAAAGCCTTTAGACAGTTTCTCACCGCAAATAGAAAGAAAATATTCCAAAGAATCTTTAGTTATAATTCTAGCCAGAAAAGAAAGCTTTGAGCGATTTTCTTGCCTCGAGTTCGTCTTTGAAAAAACAAACACCGGGAAGCTGGCTTAAAACATAAACTTCAGCAAACTTAAGCTTGAAGCTTGAAGACTCAGGATATTTAGGGACACTTTAATACTTGTCTTCCTTAATGAAAATTGTTGTCTCTGTTTATGTTTCACCGAATTATATTTCTTTTATTGATTGTTGGTAGTCTCTCTTGCAATTTTAATCGCTATGCCGATTGTTTTCAGTCGTTCAGTGAACATCGCTTGCAGGAGTTCTCAAAATGCCGCGCGTTAAACCATCAAATAAAAAATAAACATGATAAATTCTTTATTATCTTGGAGCGTAACTCTGTTAATGTTCATTCAAACACTCGCTACAGCTCGCACTACAAAAGTTAGAACCGGATGGCCGTATAGGTGATTTTGGAAAATTTTTTTAACAGTTTATGAATATTGAATGAGAGCAATTTGTATTGTGAAATACTGCTTTCTGTCCATGGTATAAAAGGTTGGTTTACACGCACCCAGATTTGTTGGCAAGATTTTGCAAAGTAAACTTGTCGAACGCCAAAACGTTGGCCTGATTTTTTTTCTAAGCCTAATTGATCTACGGTGATCAATAGCCATTACGGCTCTTAAATGTGATAAAAGATGATTAGCAGTTTTTGAGTGTACATATGAGGCTATCAACTCGATGTAAGATTTGGTTCACTCTTGGGCTGTTTGCAAATTATTTTTCTCTAAAATCAGGTAGCCTTTCCCTCAAAAGTCACATAAATGTGCTCTAAAGTTAACTGAATTGTGGAATTCGAATACAAGTTTATTGTTTAATTTAAATTATAAATTTACTAATGGGAGCCTCGCTTTTAGCCCTGGCTAAATCTATATATTAGCGATGAGCAGATCATTTGCGCACTGACAGTTTCCTATGTACCGACAAAATTCTCATACATTTCCTCCAAAAAACCCTCTATAATACGGACCCTCTCTAATACGGACAACGGACACAAAATCCCGGCCTTTGGGAGCAAAGCAGAGCTTTTTTTCGCACACACGTAACCTCTTTATTACGGACACTCCAGGGACTAGGTGTCGATACTTTGCAGTATATACCATGTCCCGTCGGCACTTACACAAACATTGACACTTTATCAATCAGCGATACCAATACCAGAACATGTCAATAGAAATTAACAAGACACTGCATGAATTTAGGTACGGAACACTCAATCCTGTCAGTGGGGTCTTAAAAGTGACGCCATCATAGTGTCCTCTCTAATACGGACACGTCGCTCTGTCCCTTCGGTGTCCGTATTCGAGAGGCTCGACTGTACCACTTTTTTTGCTCTAAATCGCACCTTTTCAGACAATTTACCTTTTTTTTTTTCGTCGTTTGCTGTATCTTTCGGTGCCATGTTTAACTACCTTGTATGCGCAAGCGCATTACCCCTTTGGATTTCGCCAAGGTTAGATTAAGGTCAACCAGATGATGTAATTGATGTTGGACACATGGAGTTATTTGAGTTTGGCGAGGGAATAAAATTTAGAGCTGTTTAAGAAGCGGGCTTTATAGCTGAGCTGGAGATTGTGTTCTACCTTTCTTGGTGTTTAACTTCCAGGGAAAGTAATAAATTCAATTCCGGAATGTACGCTTGCTAAATTTTGACTGTGTATTCCTACATTTATCCAATGCCTTAGAGAATACAGTCATTCAGAAAACTTGAACCTGTTGCCTATTCTGTGGTATGCGACCGGTAGTATTTCACGTAAAAATCCCGGCGATACTTGCGGCCTCCACATTTTCCCTCCAAATATAGAGTGGATAGCGACAGACAAAACATTCCAGAAGCAAGTTTGTAAACAACACTAAAACTTGAGTCTTTACTACAATTTGGACGTCTTAGAGGTCAAAGTTAAAAAAGTAGTACAAAATTAAATGAAATCAAATAGGCCAGTTAACCATGCAGTGTTGCGAAAACCGAGATGGATCTACACCTGCTCTTCGAAACAAGAAAACCTATAAACTAAAATACCATCAGAAACTTTCGAAAGCTGTGCATGTCTTGCCAGTTTCTTCAAGATGTAGGTGAAAAAAGACAGAAGTGAATGCAAAGTTTATTCATTGACCAGCTGTGGATCATTTGGACATAGTAGCTGGCACACTACATATAGTATTCATTGTTTTAAAAGTGACTTTCTCCGAGTTTACCTGTGATCTTGAGTTTTAAAGGCAAACGTGTAAACAAAGAAAAATCAAGTCACTATTGGGATATTCACAGCATACCACGAGAAAGCATTGCATAACTAGTAAGTACATGCACTGACATACACCCACACGGATAAAATTCTGCAACCGGACCGGATTGTGATGATAAGACCCTTTCGCCAAGTCATATAACTAAGTTTAAAACACGATGAACTGATCTAGACGAACTGAATGAAAATATGAACAGTTCGCACAATGGCAAATATTTCATGATTTCATATGCCATAAGAGAAGCTCGGTTCAATGACATCGATGATTTCGCAAAAACCTATGATTTGTCGCGGCATATTAGACCTAGATGTGTCACACAAGAAGCTATCATTACCTTTGAGGTTACCATGCAGCTTTTGGACGATTGCAGTGATATAGATAGCTCTTTCAACGATCTTCTTCTCACTTTTATTGATCATACTCGAGGCCGGCTACGCCGAGAGCATAAAATACTTTTAATTTTTCCAAAAATGTTTTCATGACTTTTACCCTATTTTGAAATAACACTTGACGGTCAAGCTAAGGAAATTTCGAACGCACTAACTAATACACGATTACAACTAGTAATAACCAAAGGTTACGAAGTGCGGGAGACAACGATCGAAGGTTAAAAAGCTTTTGCTCCAACGCTATGCTTTGCGTTGGTCTGCAGTGACAGATGGTCAAAATATGCGTGATCAGATTACGAGGCGTCAGGAAGATCGAAACGCGCGTGATCGAATTGCGTTCTATGCATTCCATTCATTCTTAGCGGAAGTCCAAACGAATGCTGGCTACATACGTGCGACGCATGCGTAATAACAACCTGGAGATTAGGATTGCGGGCTCCTCTTGTCGCCTGCAACTGTTATTTGGTCATTAATGTAGCTTGTTTCAACTTATCTTTTGTTTTGAAAGTGTCACTTCATTGATGATGTACAACGAATTATAAAAAATTCATTTCCTAAAAACTCAGCGGCACCTGCCTTGCCACGGGTGGACGATTGACTCTAACAATGACCACTTTGAAGATGTTAAACATGAGAAATTTCTCTCTTTATTGACTTTTAAAGATTACCTTTTTTGCCAGAAGATGCTTCTATATTTATGTCAATATTTCTCGCGAATTTTTACCAGAACACATTGTCAATTACTGATCTGCCTTCAAATTGTTTCATAATGAATGATGAAAATTATTGATGAGTTTTGTTTTTTTCTGAAAAAAAAAAAACGAATTTAAATAGAATTGTAAGACTTGCCCACAAGTTGACCTTTTTTAAGCGTCGAGGTCGCAAAAACAAGCTACGAAAATTGTTTCAAAAATCGTTCACCTGCTTTGGTAAAATTACTTATTATGCAAGGTTACTCGGAATCAAACTGTTCTTTTGTTTTCTTTCTCAATGAAAAACCAGTCTTTCTTTTTCCTTTGTTTTTCTTATTCTATACTTCCCTGGGGGGGTAAGGTCGGCTTTATAGTTACTTACAGGGGTTATATTAATTGCTGTATTTTAGTCAATTCTGTGCTACAGTCATTACTTAGTGTCTTTATCCAGACACGAAATGTTCCTGTAGAAAGATGAAGAAAATATGAAACAAATTTCATCACGGAACTCCAACCATAATGGTTTTTGGTGACTTTTGCAAGCATATCATTAAAACTTGAAGACAAAATGGCCCAACATTTTCAAGTTTCAGTCCAAGTTCATCCTCTTCATCCGTAGCAAAAGACGAGAGGAAATAGTTTAAAAGCCAAAAAAAAAAAAACAATCTTAATTAACAAAACTGGGTCATCATTTTTGGAATTCGATTTATGCGAAGATACGTTCGTTTTAGCTTTGTCATAATATAGCAAATAGCATGAAATAGCGCCCTTTAAGCACAGAGACTAATTGTAACTTAACGAACGGTGTACTAAGTAGGTCTAAAGTTTTTCATCTAACTGTGATAAATAATAAACTGTTATGTGAATTTAAAAATTTTCTTTAACTTACAATGATGCTGAGTTATGCAAACGGATACAAACAAGAACAGTGTGACAGTCTTCATTTCCTTCGTTTTTACCAGCAAATCTAAAAGGCAAATAGACAAATAGAAAGTAATTGAGTTACTGCTCGAGTCATCAATATGGGAAAAACAAAGACAACACGAAAATGACCACTGATCTAAGGAGCAACAATCGGTTGAGGTAAGTTAACAAAAAAGACCGGAACATTGTACAGAGCGCAAAATTTCTACTTTAAGAGAAAAAAAGGAAAAACTGAACTATTAGAAAAATAATACACTTACCTGTGAGTATAACTCTGCTTTGCCTAAAAATGAAGTTGAAATGAAAAGAACAAGCCTTATGTTTCCAAATGGCGATTACTTATTGATACATATACTACGTGTAACACATTTCAAAAGATCGCATGGTTGCACTGACCCGGGTGCGGGTACAGAAAATTTGGAAAGGGGGGGGGGACACTTGCCAGTTATATAAACACTAATTATTTTACTGAGAACTCTTTAAAGATAATAGGAAATTTCACAGAAAAGGGGGGAGCAGCCCACTCGGACCCACCCCTAAATCCGCCCATGATATCGATCAATGACCAGTTAACCACCTGATTGTAACCATGAATGAAATTTATTTTCGGGGTAACAGTCACGGCACGCAGCCCAAAAAACTTGATAATTTTCCTATTTTTAAAAGGAATCAACGCGAGGATACCTTCTGTGGCAGATTCTAGAATCATTGGCGGATCTAGACCTTCAGATAAGGGAGGGGGGGGCGGTCATCCAGACCCTGAGAAAAGGGGGGGTCCGGCCTCAAAAAAATGTTTCGGCCTTTCGGGCCTCAGTTTCGTGAAAAAATGAGGGGGTGGGGGGCGCTCCCCTGGATCCGCCACTGAAAATGGTGGACAAACTAAATCCATTGCAAAATACTACGCAACACACGGACACGAGCCGAGTGGTTCAGAAAGCACAGTTGGATTAGAATCAGTATCTTTGGAGCGACAGACCCGGGTTCAACAGCGAAGCGCAGCGCATCTAAAAATATATTACATATTTCTGGTCCTCCGCGATACTCTAACAACCATTTGCGAGTTAACAAGTCAGAAAAAAAGCGCTGGTGCAAGGCAAACTATTCCCATCAAGAAGACGTTTTAGCTGTTTCTTTGCAGACAAACTGAATAGCAAGAATAGTTAGTACGGAGCATTTTCGATGGCGGAAATGCATTACTTTTTCTAGCTATCCATTAAGACTACACATTCGTTAAATTATGTGTGAAAATATTTAAACTTACAGAAACTTCTAAACCCATCTCAAGGCATCGAGCGCAGCCAACTCGAGGAGATTGATACTCGTTACAGTGAGAATTCTTCGGTTGACGTATATACTATCGACTGCACTTTATGCAATTCACTGACCAGAAGGTAGAACGGCCATTAGAGAGTTCCTCGGCCAATTCCAAACCTACAGGAGATCTCGTTCGAGTGAAACACCAAGAGCATTCGAGTCTTGGAAAACAAACGAAAGAAATAAAGGTCTCTCTTCTTATTCTCTTTGACTTACACTGCGGATAAAACAGATTCAAAATACGGTTATTTAGAAACCGAAGATAAAGTTAACATGTGCAGTATAAGGTTACAGGGCACCCAAGGAAGGAAGGAAAACTTTATTTAAACACGGTAATATTATCAAATTTAGCTAGAAGCCGTGTGTAACAACACTTAAAAATATAATAAAGAAGTACATGTATTTGCAACGGTGTTGTCGATGCAAAGTTGAAAGTCTTAATTTTCTTTTTAAGGCGCTAACGGATGGTAGCTCTTTCATATGTTCTGGAAGTGTGTTCCAAATCCGTGCACAAGTGAATGCAAAACTGTTCCTGAACATTGAGGTTCGGGCTGTAGGAATATCTAAATCTCCCAAGCTACTTTAGTGGTCCTGTTGATTGTAAAATATATGGGTTTGTATGCAAGTTAAAAATCACTGATCAAACTAGCAACGGTTAAGACAGGTAACGTGATTTACCTTTTTGAAATCGTGTTAGTGCGTCGCTTCTTTAGTTCCTTGAAACGTCAGCCTAGATTCATTTCAGTCACTTTGTAACTCTTCACATCTCACCTTAGAAATCTGCATATTTCTTTAATAAACATCATGCATAGACGCTTCGAATAATTCTTTGGGCCACACTGTAATTTGTGCTACCCCAACAAAGTTTTATCATTATTATTATTATTTCTTTTTATTATTATTACTATTATTGTTATTTTAGTTAAAAAAAAGACTTCTTGGTGGTCTGGTGGTTTTCAACAGAGCAAATGTAAACAACTGTCTATAAACTAAAAAAAAGAAAATTTCTATGTTCATCCCAATGATAAATATAATAATTATTAAATTTTACTATTTACCGATTCAAGAATATGAAATATTAAAATATATACCCTATGTACATTCTTCTTGTGTACGAAAGAGAATTGTCGTAAAATGACTATCTAAAGACTACTAATAACAATTATAAAAAGCATCAAAAAGTTAATTAAAAAAAAATAAAAAACTATTTTAAAATAATAATTCAAACTGATAAAAAGTTACTACTTAAATTCTGGCTTGTGCACTTTCCGATGTTATTGTTATTATTGTTTTTTATTGAATTGAAATGTTTTTAATTCGAATAAATTTTTCTTAGTTAAATTAACTGTTTCTAAGCTAAATTAAGTGCTTTTTAAATCGACAGGAATTGTAAATAGTGTTTTGAATGAATAGTTTTTCTTTTTTTCAAGTGAATTAATTGTAAATAGGATTTTAATAGTTAGCATTGTTGTCAATAAAATTTTTTCATTTTATTATTGTTATTATTATTATCATTATCATTACTATTATCATTATCATTATATTATAATTAATATTATAGTCAGTGTTGTTAATTTGCGCCTTTGATGACACGTATTTCAACTGTACATTTTTGATACATAGGAAGAAATCCTTTTTAAACATTTTAAAAAATTGTGAATATATTACCCGAATAGACTTTACTTAAAACGCTTCAATTAGTCAAGGATAGTTTTGTTGTTGAGGGGTGGAGTAGAAGTGCGACTTACTTGATTAATAAAGAATTCTTATGATTATCATTATTTTTTTTATTTTTATAATTATAATTTGTTATCAGTTATTAATAAGCAAGTCAAACCCTACAAGCTTGACATTACTCACTACCCGGAGTAATCAATCGATAAAAATAGGTATACGATAAATCAATAAAAATTGATTTATATCGATTGTATGGATCAATGGGTAGAAATCGATGACACAATCGTTTCGTTTATCGATTTATCTAGATTTTACCGATTCCATCGATTTATATTGGAAGATACAACTGTTCTTCTGTTCAACCAAAAATGAAAACTGATTTCATGCAAACAGTGAATTTGTTGACAATTGAGTTGCAATTGAGAATCGAAGGATCAAACAATTAATTATCACTTTTTTTAAAAAAGTTTTAAAAAAATCTTATCTTTTCTTTAAACCCGCTTTAAAGTCTTTTTCGGATGGCCGATATTGGCCAGGTTTGCAGGCGCCCAGTTTTTTCACGATTTGCAACCCCGAAATCGGTAAAAATCGTTAGCGATCAAGTGATTTTATCGATTGATAACGGAAAACGGTGAAAAGCTATCTAGTGAAATCTTTTAGCCTGAATTTCAGGAATCCCTTCGACTCTAGAGGATGTCTGAAATTCAGGCTGGGAAATCTTTTATGTAATAAGGTTGTATCATTATTTCTCGTGGTACTCGCCTGCGAGAACTGCGAAAGTAATTATACCGAACAGTTTTTGTTATTATGTACAAAAGGGTCACGGTTTTAGAGAGAACCTTGTGTCTGTAATAGTTTCCACATTTCCTATTTTCATGTTTGTTGATCAGTTGTTATTCGTGGAGGTGTTTTCTCAGCTGTACTATTTAACTGCTGCCAAAAAACAACTATGTGGGACTTACCGTTATAAATCGTTAAGATCATGAATTATCGATAATATCGATTTGACACAGCAATTTGACGTCTCGATTCTCACCGATTTCAGTTATCAATCGATAAAAATCACTTGATTGCTATCGATTTTTATCGATACCGATTTTTATCGATAAACTACTCCGGGTCAGTAAGAATGACACATTGCAATTCACTCGGAAAGACGCAAAGAAGAGACAGTATGATAGAAAGTGACAAAAGATATGATCGCTAAGACATGGTTGTCATAAAAGAGAATGGTGAAGACTGCAAATGGCAAACAGATCCGGGTATGAACTTTTGATATCCCGCTCCGCAGTCTTGTCAAACTAATTTAACTGACCAGTGCTTTGAAAACCAAAAATCAGAAACATCGAAAACACCGTCTGCATGCCCGCACGGGATTATATTTGCAAATAAACCCGTACCTTTTCTTTATTGATAAAACATCCTATGGTTATTTGGCGCGATTAACAGATTTGGTATTTTAACAGATACCTTACATTCAGCCATGCAAAACCAGCCATTGATGTTCTCCTTAAAGAAGTGTCCACTCATGCTAGACGTTCAAGCCGGCTGACAAGGCCGTTCCTTGTTGTCCCTAACCGTAAAATTACAGTGAAATAACACGTGCTTATTACTGGAAAACGTGACAGAAAAATTCGTCCACCATGGAGTCATAGTCTATCGGCAGCGGATGGTCAGCGGTTTTGGCTCCTAGAGCAGCCGCACCAACAGCAGAACTTTCGCGTAACTTAACTAACGTAAAGCGTTCAACTTGAACAGCAGTGTTGCCCTGAGAACATCTTAATCCAGCTAAGAAACCTACAAAGAAGTGACAAAAAATTACAGTCAGTAAAAGTGCGGTTTATGTTTTCAAATTTTCCACGTTTTACCCAACATTTTGTAATCACGCCCGCCAAAAATATATGCTGTTTAAGATGGAATCCATCAGGAAACTGAGTAATTTTCAGTGGACAAAAACCTGGTACCAGAATAATTTAAAGAATATTGCATTCTTTTTTACATTTTTCAAAGGCTAAAGATGAAATTAGGTATCTATAGTAACACCAAAGAAAATTTCTGATGGGAGCCCGAGAAAATGAATGTCAAATTTCGCAAAATTACATCTTACAGATGAAATTTTAAGAATTTTACCTGTGTTTTCACAATTCTCGTGAAATTTGACATTCATTTTCTCGGACTCCCATGAGAAATTTTCTTTGGTGTTATTACAAATAACTAATTACATCTTTAGCCCTTGGAAAATGTAAAAAAGAATGCAATATTCTTTAAATTATTCTGGTACAGGGTTTTTGTCCGCTGAATATTAAAATTGCTCAATTTCCTAATAGGTTCCAGAAATCTCAGAAAAGATGTGGGCTAGGCTTGGATAAATTCTGCTCATAAAACTGCTTATTCTGCCCGCCGGCAGTGCTCGTAAAAATCGCTTATTCTGCTCAAAATTCTGCTCGTACACCCTGCTCTTCTGCGAAATATAAAAGGGAGTCTGAGCCTAACCCCTAAAAACTAATTAGACATTCATTATGCGTAGCAAAATTATAATTCATCTTACCTTTAATGCGACTGCTTTGTAGCTATTAAATAATCAAATTAATCACAATGTATTCTCCATTTGTTTTTTATTTAGTTTTAAATCTTTCTTACAACTGTTACGCATATCACAAGTGCCGCTGTATTCCCTTATTCTGCTCGCCTCAAAAATCGCTTATTCTGCTCGAAATTCTGCCCGGAGAATATATCCAAGCCTAACGTGGGCACTGGTGACGTTTATGCCAATAAAACCTGGAAGCCCTGTGATCCTACATGTAGTATCTAGCTGGATCCACGAGATGCTTCGGCGTGGTTTGCCTTACTAATAGCAAATTTGCTTCCATAAATCCATCACGTCAAGTCCATAATACCTTGAAGCTTCTAGATTATACAACCTTACCATCCCTTAGAAGGGCCCAGCTCTGCCACACTGCACCAACACAAGTGATTCTTAGACCTTTTTCTGCATTCAATAGCGCTTCTTGGCATTCCTGAAAATTTTGAATTATATACACCTTACTGTTTTGGAGTGTAATACGCTCGGATAGTTTACCAAGTACATGGTAATTTTGTATTCTGCGAACAATGAGAAGAATTTTCGCGCGTGCTGTCTACAAAAACACCGTTCAACATATTTACTGTAACACATTTTTATCCCATTTTTGGTACCAACGTCTATTTTCTTCAGGTAGAATGAAAGAACGTTCTTTTACTATGTATGCTCTACATGATTGAGGAGTACCAAAGAAAGCAAGTAAAATGCATTACAGAGTTTGTTTGATTTGAGTGAACATTTTCCCTGAATGAAAGAATCGAAAAATGCTGGCTAAGCATTGCACGTTGTGGTAAATAATAAAAAATGGTAGTGCTGTCGTCTAAAGCAAGAAGATTGTGTCCAACGAAGTAGTGAACTGAATTATCAACTAAAATGCAAAAGAACAAATCTATGACTACGATCTATACAATTGCTTTACAAAATGAAATGCATCAAGGTTGGAAAGGGGCCATGAAGAACAAAAGAATCTAACTAAAAAACTCACTTTATCCATGTGCTGGACAACAGCCCTGATGTGGGTTCCTAAAACTTCACCAGCTTGAAAAAACAGATGCTGGCAAAGTGGATCCTTGGCTTCGGCTGCCCCTGAAAATTATTACGGCAACAAACCATCAAAAGAAAAAACTAAAAAGGGCCAAAGGATGAAGACGTTTGGCTTAATTTTAGGCCTATCAAACTACGGCGAGACAAGGTTGAAGGGAGGTTGTTAGCCGTTTTGTACAGCTTCACTTGGCGATCATTTTCAAAGCCCCACCCCTCCCCACTGATTGCACGCAAAACAATACTTGGCTTCACACTAAAAGCTAAGTTAATTTTAAGTAAGCACTTGATTCAAGTGCACTTGGAAATCTTAAGTCGCTCTTTAGAAAACATGGCTTCACACTTGTTGACAAAGTATATTACTTGAAGCAAAAGCTGTCAATCTCTCCGTTCATTAGAATATCTGAACCGCTGCGCGTGCACATCGTGCACACGGCTTCCATTTTGTTATTGGTCAAGTGTGTTCTCAAGAGTGGTGCAGACCATACTTGGCGGCGAACTTCGGTTCTTAAAAACTACGAACGTTTTCATGATCACCAAGTAAAGTTGAAGTAGGTACAATTTACCCCTTCACACTCAAAGTACATTGTAGGTTCCAGGTACACTTACATTTATACTTGAAGATCTAGTGTGAAGCCAACAAATATTTATCTTTCACAGTTAGCACTACCAGTAAAGAGGAGTAAAGCAGACGTGTGTCCGCAAGCAGAGGCTCAGGATAAATTAAAGAAATCATGAAGGACTGGGAACAAGGCAGGAAGATTACTTATGACTTACCAACAGCTATAGATTTACAAAGTCCTGCAAAATGCGCTTTCTCAAATTTCGCGTACAAATGATCCAACATTCCAAATAAATTGTCTATCTGTGGAAAAAAAAAAAAAGTTAACACCATTTTATTTAATCACCTCTTTGAAAACGCATACAATTACAATGACTATTCAATTTTATCATTTAGGAAACTTGATGTACTATCACTGATTCGGATAAAGTTTTCAGCTTTTTTTTAATCCTACAAGTACTCAATCGAGTGTCCTAGTGACTGAATGAAATATGTGTCACTCCGTTCTTACCTTTCTGAGAGGATCTCTAAGTTATTTCATGATTAGAGTGCCCGTGGAATTCATGTCATGCCAAACACAATGTGGTTTTGTCGTTAAAGTAAGTTTTTCATAAAACACGAGGCTGGGATACAAATAATTAGTGAGCTTAAGCTACCACAACGATAAGTAAAAAAATTAAAATTGCGCTCTTTCAAACTATATCACGCTTATGAAGACTCGGCCAGTTTGTGAAATGCAGGTGAATTTTTCTGGAATTAAATTATTTAGGACTCTAACCAAGTTCATTAGAGAAAGGAAAATTTGTTGTCTTTCATAAAACATCGTAGTGGAACGTCTCAGGCGTCGTAAACTTAAGTCTATTTTTTGAGAATACGCGAAAATAAAACTTTAAGTCAAATCGCATTCTCGTGGTCTTCTTCATCCTCGAAACTAAAGGTTTCCATTTTTCATACCACAATTATACCTTGAAGTATTCAAAAACGGTTCTTTTAACATAGCTGATATCATACGGCGAAGGAACCAATCCATCCTCGGCATCAAATACTGTCTTTACGGCTTTGTAGGCTATCCACCATGCTATTGTAGAAAGAAAACGAAAACATTACGCACTAAATGCACTGACGAGAGACTTGCTTCAAGTGTAACTTTTCAAGGGAAAGAAACTATGCAAATTAGCTTAAACTTGTAAGCTAATTGTAATTTTGTTGCTTGATGTACTGAAAGCGATCTTTCGAATTTGGATTTCCAAGTCAGTTATTTCCAGGGCCGGGTTGTTAAAAACAGGGTAAAGATAACCCAGGGTTAGTATGAAATTGGGGTTCAAATATGAACGCTTAACAAGCCAATTCAGTTTCATTCTTTTGTGTACAATTTTGATGATTGGACCAGTGCTCTGAAAAGAATAGAGAAAATTATCCGGGAAAATGCTTTTGAACAAAAGAGAAAGAAACCCGGGTTAAAATTTAACCCTGGGTTAAGCGCTAATCGGCCTTCTAACAACTGGGCCCTAAACTTTACCTCGTTTCTGTTGCTAATCAGCGAGTAGTTAAAAGTTATCGATTGAGGCCGAGTTCTCATGATCAAGAATTCTGCAGATCAAAGATGGTGAGGACGACACTGAGGAGTTCATTCTATATATTTTTGAAAGCCCAAATCGCTTATTGATTTATTACACAATCAAAATATGGGCAAACTCACAACGCTGTGATTATTTCATTTACAAAGCGGGAATTTTGTCGCTAACGATGAGTTTAACAGAACCCTGACCTTAACTTCAGTAAAAGTTACTGGTATACGCTAGACCTAGTAAACTTACCAGAGCCTTCATCCCCCATCAAGTGACCCCACCCACCACAATTAAACGTTTTGCCACTTGGGGTCAACATCTGGCAGTTGGAGCCAGTTCCTGATATCAACACTATGCCACCTGAAGAATGTGAAATAAAATGTACATTTTAATTTTAAGATCTTCAGCATGCGAGCGGGAGAAAAAGGGAAGAAAGGGTGAAAGATTAAGCGTGAACGGATGGTAAGTTGTGAAGGGGAAGAAATGGAAGAGTTAGGTGTAGGGAGTAGAAAAAAACGCAGGTTAAACATTACATTATAAGCACATTGAACACAAAGACATGGACAGTATCATCGTATAGTTTGAATGGTTAAAAACAGCACTTACATGTATATTTGTATGGCTTTTTCTAAATCAAGTGTCCCCAGTTCAAAAAAGCGTTTTTTTTAAAAAGTATTTCATTGTATTCTATACTAATCTATCCAGAACTATTCTCCCTTGCTCAGTGATGCTTAACATTTCCCACAGGATAATGAGAAGTCCAACATGGATTGAAGAACATTACCCCACCACACAGAGCCTCAATTATCACTCCTACCCCCAAAGGATGCCAGTGGATTCCACAGGGATAATAACCTTGTAACACAAAATCTTCATTCTATGATCATCCTACCCTGGATAGATGCATAAAGCAGTCTATCCAGCTCCTATGTGACAGGTATCAAAAGGGGAAGGGTATATATTAAAGAATGGAAAGTGACCCTACTTTACAGAGTTACTCATCTCCTAACTGTAATCTTTAGGAAATTGCAATAATAATAATGGTGATAAAAATAATAATAATAACTTTATTTACCAGTATATAGTGCTCATATCCTGAGCTCATGGCGCTTTACAGTGTATAGACAACACCACCACACCATTCCAGAGTAGTTAACATAATTATAATAATAATAATGATAATAATAATAATAATAATAACAATAATAGTATAAAGTTAAAGTTCACGACCACAGCAGAAAACCGTGTAAAATCAATCTTTCTCAACATTGCATAAAAAAAGATCACAATTAGTTAGAAGTCAAAAAAGTATAAATTTTTTGTCAAAAAGACAACTGCAAGGACTGCAGATCAAACAACGTGAACAGATGGTTGATCAGTCCTTGCAGTTGCCTTTTTGACAATAATGGCTTGTTTCTATTTATTCTCATTGCTGACCCTTTTTAGCTTCACAAGATTTTTGCAACAATGTATTTCTAGTAATAGTGATAATGATACTGTTGATTAAACTACCTTTATCTGAAGATGTAGTAATAGCACCAACAGTATCACAACACATGTGATATTTATTGCTACAGTTAGGATATTTTGACATCATCAAAGACACTGCTTGTTCTTGGATTTCTTGTTTCTCCAAGCCACTCAGTGAAAGTCCCTGACAAAATAGAAGACAGACTCGATTTGCAAAGTCAGGTATAAAGCTCTTAACATTATTATGATACCAGTGTATTAGATAGTTAATATGACATATGTGTTTAGGTTGAACAAATGTGTCTTTAAAAATTTGTGACAATCTCAAAAGAGTGGTGATGGCAAATAAGACTAAGTGAAGGGACAGAGTAACAGCCATCACTCTCCAGAGCGGTTGAAAGATGTCATGATCGCAGTAATTATGATAAAAATGATTCAGAACAATTAAGAAAAAAAAACCTAGGTAAATCCATTACAGAATTTTTCCATTCATTTGGTTAAAAAAAGGGGAGTGGTATGCGTATGAGCAAATTCTTCTAGTCATTAAGAATTTTTTTCTAAGTCAATTTGACTACATTAACTTACCAGCGAAGCCAATGGTTTGTTGATATCAATACCTGCAGCCTTTTTAGCCTCCTCCACCATCTCGTTGACTCTTCGTAAACATTCTTCTAAGCCAATCAGCTGTCCATGGGGTGAGAGAAGAAAACGATGTAAAGAAATATCTAGTGTGAGCCAATATGGTTAAGTTCCTTCTTCCCAAGGGAATGCTGCTGCTGTCCACAGTATATGGAATACTTTATTGCCAAAAAGTTATCCCCAGTATCATTATTTTTTTGCTGAGTGCCTTTCAATATAATCATACTGGCAGGAACAATGTCACCAGTTGGGTCTACATTGGCAGCTAAGAGTATAACCTATAACTAACATCCTATCTAGCAAGTGTCAAAGGAATGTGTTTAGGTCCTTAATGTGACTGAAACCTAGAAATGGAATTAATGGGCTAGGGCCATATTGTGAAACTCTCAGACAGAAGGTCAATGTGTGGGACGTCTCTTTTCAAAGGAAACAACACAATGTTAATTATGTGCCCATTTATACATTGAAATGGAGAAACACCCCCAAGAGAGCACTGCTGTCACTATAAAGATATCAAAATTGTTTTGCAGGCAAAACAATTAGCTCGCAGACTTATCTTCACCACTAAGGAGTATCACTGTTCTGAAATGAAGTCAATCAAAACAGTTTCCATTACTAATTCTTGGCTTGAAGAATAACAACAGTCATTTTAGTCAATGTTCTAGCACTCTCACCAACCAATCTCCCTGCTATGGACCACGTGACCCAAAACAATTTGGCCGCTTGGAATAATGAGGCCTAGGGACTAGGCTAGCCCCTACCCCATCACCAATAAACTACAACAGCACCCCCTGAATCGAAAGCCAAAAGAGGAGCCCTTTTCGGGAATGTTTCTTGTCTGAGGATATAACTCTACAGTAATAATAAAACGTCCCATGGCTTAATGTCACCAAACAATGTCTTACCCAACAGCAAGGTGCAACTGACTTTAAACTAAAACACTGCTGTTCATGTTACGTACCCAATGATTTGTGCCCTGTCCTGTACTACGGCCAACAATTTTTCCATCATTTGATAAAATTATGGCAGTTGAGCCTGTCCCACCACTAAAAATAGAATGAGTTTATTCAACCACAGAATGAGCAAGAAAACTGGGCATAAGGGGTTAATGGGTACTTAAAGTTAAACCCTAGGACCTGACCTAGTTGAGATACCAGTGGGTGCCGTTTATTGGAGAGGTTATGTTACCTTTCATTCATAAAGGTAAAGCAGCCTACAGGTTTCACATGCAAAAAAGCCAGAACCTGGAAGTAATAACTGTACACATCCAGGTATTTGGTGGCAGATGTCATTCGCGCCTTGATGGCAGGTTAACCAAATAAGTTTTTTGTTAAGCAGCGAGCAGTTGCTGGCTTGGAAAACATATCTCGGGCATTCTTTTTTTCTCCATCTTCTCAAAAAAAAAATTGATCACAGGTAAATTCTCCCTCTACTATTTTCCTTTTTTGCAAAAAGGTTCAACCCCACATATCTTATAAATTCTGGCAGTAAAATAATAAAGTTTGACTGAACTGAACATCAGTACAGGTCTTAGCTGTTAATTTATCTTACAGTAAGATTTATCAGGGCTGTCACTAAGGGCCGACAATCGGGGATTTCCTGCAGCTACCATGAACATGATCCCCAGTTACTTTCATAGGAGACCAAAGGAAATGGAACCAAAAGAACTTTGTAGCTTTATTAATTCCCGCCTGTTTATTGCCTATACCCGCCAACTTGAAATCTCAGTGACAGCTCTGTTTAAGCAACTGCCTCCTGATAACTTCTGATCCAATTACAAAATTTTTACGATTTTCATTTTGATTATGACATTATAACCGGACTACCATGTGTTTGCCAGTGTTGCAAGTTTATCATATAAGCTTTTGAAGTTTCCAAACCTTTTCGCCGGAAAGTGTTACCGATAACCTAGCATTTTAATTCTATTTTTTCCTAAGAAAAGGTGCCCTCCATAAAACCTTGTATTATGCCTTTTCACGTCGTAGTCGTGCAGTGACGGCAAGTAAATTTACAAAGTTTGTCGTTTATCTCGATAACCTTTTTCTTTATTAGCCGTTCTTGTTGCCCGTCGCCGTCGTCATAGCTTAAGCTCCCTCACGGTCATATCAAAGGGAAGTAGTTGCGTTATTTCTTCTTCTTCTTCAAGAAGGAAAATTAAATTGAAAATTAAGTAAGTCATGATTCTTCTTACCCTTCGATGCCGCCATAGAACAAGTTGGAGGAGGTCGCCATCTTGAGATTGCCCAGAGAACTGTCACGCGACACAGCACCACGTAAACCGTCACACAAGGGAAACTTGATTTTTTAAGTGTGACCGATTTTTCCCTAGGTAACTTACCTCGGGGAAATTTTATCGTCTGGGGCTTGAATATGTCCCTTGCCGAGAGCTACCCCAAAGGGATCTAGAGAAAAATGAAATACCGAGGCTGCTAGCCAATAGCCGCTCATCAGCGAAGGTCTTGATGACAGAACCGGACATAGCGAACGCTGTGAAAAACTCTTTTGGGGCACGAGTCGTCTACGTCTTTCCCGGTCTTCACGTTGCACGTTGAATTAACATAAAAAATAACAGCGAGATAAAGAGAAAAAACGTCTCTCTGATCGGCTAGATCCCTGAGCATCTTGCCCTCTTGAATTTACGCGCCAAAAAATTTAACAGTGCGTGAAAACCTTGGGAGCCGATAACAGTAGTGTGACCTTCCCAGAATTTTTTACCTAGGTAAAACAAAACCCGAGATGAATTTACCACGGGAAATTTTTGATGAATTTGCCCTAGATAAATCTGTTTTACCAAGGTAAAGTCTGTAGCGTGACCACAGCTAAAATCAAGTTTTTATCAGCTAGCCTGCGAACCACAGACGTACTTCCGGTCGTCGAGTCCCTCTGCCCCCCCCCCCCCCCCCCCCCCCTTTTTCTCGGCGGGTGAAACTTAAGCAGAAAAAACCGGATGCTCTCGCAGGCTACACCAGGCACGTAGCCAGGAATTTTTACGGGGAGGTGCGATCTAACTAGGAGACGGACCAAACGATGCTAGACGCGCAAGACTCTGGGGTAGGGAGAATTAGGTTGCCTGAGACTGCATTTCGCATTTCGAGCACTTTGAAAAACTGGGAATTTCTCAAACTTTTAATCTTCAAAAGTAATTTTTTTTTCAAATAGAGTACTTTTACCATTTCACTGTAAAAGCATGACAATGCGGGATGTCACTATTGAAAAAGAGAAAAAAAGTAGAAAAAAAGTTGTAAATCCATATTGTTATTCATTCAAAATATTTTCCCAATTCTGATTGGTTAAAAGCACAAGCATAATTCACCATAACCAATTACTGGTGACCAAATTTGGAAGAGTTTCGTGTTTAACGAGGAAATGACGTCAAAAATGCAGCCTTCTACAGGTTAATGCACCGTTAATCAAGAAGACCTGGGGACGGGGTTGAGTTTTTTTCGTTGTAAAAACTAAAATGGCGGACACTTCACTCGTTTGAAGAGTAAGAACTGCAGCTGGAACTACGCCAAATAATGGCTAAAAACAACAAGAAGACAACTAGGAGGGCGACATCTGCTATTTCGAGAATATTTGCGGAGCTGGACAAACCTAAACGTACACTATACTATCGAAGATAAACTTAACGTCGATGCAGGTCAACATGTTTTCGCTATGTTTTTATTAAAACTAGGAATTATTTTGAATGAATAATAAAACAATTAATGAATTCGGCTTTCGTAGGATGTGAAGAATTAAGCAGATCTCGGAGAGTGTTATCCACCTCGGCCTTCGCCTTCTGTAAATAACACCCTCCTCGATCTGCTTAATTCTTCATATCCTACTCAGTCTCATCCATTAATTGCTAATTATTCGCTAGGTTTGATGCAAAATTCGTTTACAGCCTTTATATTATCTTATCATGATAAGATAATATAAAGGCTGTAAACTTGATCACTGTCTAAAGTGTATGGTCTGCACTATGATGTCTATAGCAAACATTGTGATGTTTACTCATTAGAAACGTCATTAGAAAACACTTTCTATTATTAGTTACGTTGAGCTTAAAGATAAGATACAACAATGCAAAGAGGTTGTAAACTTTAAAGTTTACAGCCTCTCTGCATTGTGGTATCTTATCATAACTGAAGCCTCAAGGTAGTCCTCTAGGACATTGTCTTGTTGATCGTTAAACTTCTAAAAATTGAAGCTCTTACAGGACTACTAGAACTAAGAGTTGATCCAGCGGCTTTGTTATAGCCTCAGCAGGGTCAATATCTGTATTATTCAGTTTCATTTTCCTCGTCAGACATTTCAGCTTCTAATTGTGATGCCTCGCACTGCAGCAAATACCAAGATGGCGAGCGGGAAGCTCTATTGTTGGAGCGAATAACCGCTGGATTTAAGCGCCTGTTAGATACAGATAGCTGCTGTCCAGTTCATGGGCGCACCTGTTATTTTCTAATTTTTTTTTTAAGAACGTACGACATCCTTAGTTTTGACCAGTTTTAATAAAAACCTTTCAATAAAGACCTTTATGATGGCTTGGTCAGTTTTTAACTATTCGACTCAAAAGTTGCCATGGAAGGCAAAAGTTGCTCTAGGCTGCACGCAGTACAAAAAGTTGCTGAAAAGGCTATAAGTTGCTCAAAAAATGCCGAGCACAATCTATTTACGCCTGATTTACACCTAGTCGCACCCCCACCCCCTCCCCCTGCCTCCTCCCTACGGGCCCGGTACACTACAGCACGTTGGCGCTGGGTTATGTGAATCTGATCCAGCAAAACTGATCAGAGACGATTCAAGCTCTGAAAATTAACCAAGGAACCAAATTTAGAACACTTGAAAAGCTCATGTTCAGTTTATCTGATAGGATAATACACTGTGAAACAAAATATCTAGGGCCCGAATTCCAGTGAGCAATATTAGAAATAATTATTGCTTCCCTCGAATAATCGGCCTCGACTGAATAAAGATGAGAAAAAAGGTGAAATGATCGCCCTGGCTATATTATACGAAGAAAATACGGTAAGTACTGGGGGCAAGAATGTATTTACCGCGTTCTTCTATCTTGCGTTGAGAAATCAAAAAACTGCGAACAGTCTACTTTACAAGCCCAAAACTACGACAAAGTTTTTGCTTCGGAAAACATTTTGTTTTACTCCCACTGCAAATCAGTGCTTGTGGAAGTCCCTTAAACTTGGGTTAAGCGATTTTCTCGTAGAACGTATCTCTTTATTAAAACTAGGAGCTAAAAATAATCTGAATCGATATAGCGTCAAACCTTCTTGAAAAACTTATATTGGATCCATACCAGTGGTGGATAATATGAGACAAGTGGTCTTTTTACAAGTACGCAGTACTCTATAGTCAGTAGTATGCTACTATAAAATATATAATTCAGACAAACATATTGGCACTGTCTGCCAAACCACTGTACTGTTTACCTCGTTTTTGTTAATAGTGGTTGATGAACAATTACTATACACTAATCAATCACAATGTAAGTCAGTGTTAGCATAATTCTTTGTCGTGCGTAATTTATAACAAATCAATGGACTAATTAACGTACGATGTACTTATAAAAGCAGTGAGTTTGAAAATGACTCAGTTATCGATTTTAGTCTAGCTATTTTTCACGATACAGTCTGTTCTCAACACAGCGTTCAGTTTAAAGCCGACAGTAAAAGATGCTCTCTTCCCAGCTCTACGTAGCGTTTTGTGCGTTATTCATACTGCCTTTTTATTTTTGTGTAGTCGATGCACAGGCCTCTGTCGATTTCGATAACGGAATGTTCAAGCTGCAGTGGACGCATGACGATGGAAAGCTGGTTTTCAATATGACTTGTAAGACTATAGGCTGGTGTGGAGTGGGCTTCGCCCAGACTTCTGATGGCAAGGGAATGGTAAATTACGATATGGCTGTAGGTGGTGTTGACTCCAACTCGGCGTTATATCTTGATGTAAGTCAGTCTCCCAACTTGTGTTTCTACTAACAGTTATACTAAAGAAAACGGAAAATTGTTAATTGAAAGGTTAGAAAAGTGAACCGGTTTGATAATGGATACAACATAAAAGGAATTATGCAATTTGAGTCAAAAAGTAAGTGTCACTTTTGGAGGCCATATGTACCACAGTGTTTTAAAATATTTTTAATACTCTTTAAACAATAAACTGAGAGAGAGAGAGGCCAAAAAAAAGAAACGAAAAGAGGGGTACTAGGTCCAAAAAATACCATGAGTACACGAAGTTTCAGTGCTATACACTGGCTATGTAAATACTGGGAGTATCGAAAGGGAGTAAGAGTTGTTATCTCGATGATAGTGTCAATTGCTTGATGGCGCGTTGTATCTCATATGTGTAACTGCTTCTCAGTTTGTTTTGTGCCGCTACACCGACTTCGAAAAACCATATATGTCACTATTTTTGTTTGACGCTATTCGTTTATTCGTTTAGGCTTCAACTTTCAATTGATAATTATAGACTGTGGGCAGTAAGGAAAATAAACAAAAGTCACCAGACAAGTGATGATGTACAATATTTCTTCATCTATTTCCTTAATTTTTTTTACACAGGGATACCAAAGCACTGGTCCAGGAATACCAACAAAAGATCCCACTCCAGATTACAGGCTCATAAGAGCTTCAGAAGAGAATGGATATACTAATATACAGTTTGAAAGGATTGATACTACAGAAGGGGACGACAAAGATGTTCAGTTTACGGTAAGAAGTGAGACGTATTTTATTTCCAGTGTTAAAAACAGGGAAAATACAAAATGAACATAATTTTATAGGGCGAATGCATGATAGGAACTGAATGGGACTGGCCTCACTCTATTTTAATTTACTACAATTTTTAGACTGTTACACAGGTTCAGTCCCCCTTTTCCTTAAAAACTAAGGTCTCACGAGTTGGGGGGTTTACGGCTATAGCAGATTCTAGCTTCCGATACAGCTGAATAACTAGGCACATTTTTACGGTTAATTCAGAATCCTTTTTTTTTTTCTCTTTTTGATCTTCAGAGTAACAGCGAAGTTTGGATAGTTAGGGCTTGGCAGAATAACTACGACGCTCCCTTGGGTCTCGACAACTCAACCTTGCAGCACAGCCACACAGGAGTGTCAACAAAAAAGTACAACTTGATCAAGGAGGCAACAGCAAATGGCATGAAGACGAGAGTTACGACATATACTATTCTGTCCTTGATCGTATTCACTTATTTGCTCTAAATCTGGAGTTTCGCACCGTTTTCTAAAACGTTTGAAAACTATCGCATTATACGCCAGTACAAGACTGTATGTTACATTACGGACAAGTCCGGCTTTTAATTTGGACACTGATTTTTTAATGTATGTATGTATTCCCACCCCTACTTATTTAGCTAGCATCTAAGAGGGCCCTTTAGATGAGGCTTATATTGAAAACTGCGCCCCTTCCTGCATCGCATCCTGATCTGTTGTAATTTGTGATCTGATTGGCATAATTTGTAATTAATAGCTGTCGTATTTTGTAGATAAATTTGTCGCAAATTGCACGTAATGAGCAAAATTTTTGTTATTCCTAACAAAATTTTGTCATTGTAATTTATGATAAGCAAAGCTGTCGTGATTAATTTTGTCTTACTAATTTTATAAGAGACAAACCTGATTGAAAAAACGTTGTCGCTTGAAAAGTATAAGCCATGGCGATGGGACGAAATAGATTTTAAGGCTGGAACTTTATTAGCATAGCAACTTTAAAGTTCTTTCCATAAAAGATTGCATAATTATATTATCGAAGCTATTCGCGACGATGCAGTCCAAAAAAGATCAAACGGATTCCAGTTTTCTTGGCGATAAGCTAACAACTTCACCTGTACATTGAAGGCACATCAGAGATCTCTACAGTTGAAGAGTGTAGCCATTTCGCTAACGCACACTTGAAAATCATAACATAGGACCTAAAATCTTTTTTGGAAGACATAAATAGACAGCGATATGCCTCGGAACAGGTACTCAAATCTAGAGATGCAACGGCACGAGCAGCTGGTGACAATGTTAACCTGTCATTTTTTAAAGAACTTGGAATTTGCTTTGCTACAAGGGTTGTTAAAGTGCGACTATTGTACATAACCCGTGCCAACTAGACAAACTGACCAATCAGATTACAGGAAAATAACACTGATCAGTTGTCGCACTGTCACTGGTAAATTGCAATCTCTGAAAATATGTAAAACGCCGCGTGAGATCGGGAGCAGCTAAAATGGAACTGATGGCGGGCGGGCGCGCTCGAGAATAAAGTTGCTGACTTGATAGCTTGGAAAAACAACCGGTACAACAAAATTTAATTTCCCTCTTGAGTTTTGGTCTTCAAACGTCTAAAATAACTAGATTGAAAGACCACTGAACTCCACTCTCCACCATACAATTCTGCTCTTTCACAATTTGCGCATGATTGCAGCTGCTAATGCCGAAAAACACACATTTTTATTTTGCAAATGATAAATGTTAGTTGTGAATTAAAGCAAAACAAAAGGCCGGAACAATGAAAGACACGCTACACTAAGATCCTCTTACTAAACATATATTAGGTAACCCTCTCCTCTTTTGATGTAACCGAAGTAGAGTCAAATTTTAAGCTGGGATTTAGTTAACTTTCCGTTTCCTCACAATACTAAGCAGGTTGAATAGTCTTAATTCAAAATGAAAAAAATAGTAACGAATTCTTCGGAAAAAAGGCCAAATATGTTTTCGTGACTAACAGGTTGTTTATACGCTTGTTGTGGTCTGATTTCCTATCTAATTAGTATATTAGAACAATGGACTTAACTTTACTTTTCTTTAGTTAAACGTGACGTCCCAGTTCAAAATATAATACACAGAAAAATACCAACGATCGGTTTGAAAAATACAGATACGTGTCCAAAAGGTCACAGCGATGGTCTTACCATTCGGAGGATATAAATTCGATTCCTTCCCCACCGCTAGGTTAGTTTTGTTTATTTCGGCCACTCTCGTCAGACATGGACAACTGGTTTGCCCCTCCCAAATCGGGGAACGCTTTGCATGTCATGATCATTTTCCGATTTGAATTAGCTGCTTCACTTATTTGCCCAGCCCGCTAGTGACTCTTTTTAAATTTGTTTTGTAAATACCAACGAGAACAATTTAACGTCATTCAAGTTTTTGTAATTATTTTCGAACAGCTAAAAAAAGCTTTTATTTTAAATTTGGTCAGCCACTGCAATATTGTATCCATTGCTGAAAAAACTGGCCAACGCACATGGCTGTACGTAGCTATGCAATATCGGCAGCCAAATACTTCTTTTTGTAAAAGTTACGGCACCGAAACCTGCTTTTAAAAAAACTTTTATATAAATAATCGCACTGTTTGTTGAGCCTAAATTTCGAACTCTTTGATGCATTAACATATCAAATGGAAAATATGATCTCTCTTCAATTTTAACCCAAGAATCCACTTTTCGTGTCTTTTCATTGCTGTCAATATAGTTCACAAATATTTGAATGACCAACTTCGCCTAAAATGTTCTTAGTTCAAAATTAAAACATTCAGAGTTAAAAGTTAATAAACTGTAATGATTGAACAAAACAAATGAATCTTTTTGAACCAGAATCAGTCTTAATGTCTGCGAATAATCTAGATTTCAAGCAAACTATTTTCGGAGCCAATTTAAATGTTTTTAGATTGAAAGGCATTAACTTAATTAGAAAACATTTTCAATTGAACGAATCAAAAGCTATTTTTTTATGAAATATATGAGCTAAAAAAAGCTTTTATTTTAAATTTGGTCAGCCACTGCAATATTTTATCCACTGCTGAAAAAAACTGGCCAACGTACCTGGTTGTGCGGAGCTATGCAATATCTACAGCCAAATACTTCTTTTTGTAAAAGTTACGGCACCGAAAGAAATCCCACTTTTATATAAATAATCGCACTGTTTGTTGAGCCCCAATTTCGAACTCTATGACCCATAAACATGTCAAATGGGACAAATGATCTTTCTTCAATTTTAACCCAAGAATCCACTTTTCGTGTTTTTTCATTACTGTTAATTAATAGTTCACAAATATTTGAATGACCAACTTTGCCTAAATGTCCTTAGTTCAAAATTAATCATTCAGGTTAAAAGTTAATAAACTGTAATGATTGAACAAAACAAATGAAATTTTTTGAACCAGAATCCTAATGTCGGCGAATAATCTAGATTTCAAGCAAACTGTTTTCGGAGCCAATTAAAATGTTTTTAGATTGAAAGGCATTAACTTAATGAGAATTGAACGAATCGAAAGCTACTTTTTTATGAAATATATGAGGCAGAAGTCAGTAACACATTTTCCCAGCTGACATAGACTGAAAGCTTTAACTGAAACACAATACTTACACACAAGTAAGCCGAAAGAGTGTAATCTGTAGTCAGTGCTGCTACAAAGTGCCGACAACAATAATAGTCTTAAAAACATATATAATGTGTGGATGACTCTATCTCAGTACTCAGCCTTTGTTTATCTGGCTCAGTATAGTGGTCTGCCGTAAGGACAAGTAAATCATAATATAAGTGTTCATATCAGTATTTCTTTGTTGTAACTACGCAATTTCTTTTAAAAAAGTTTTAACTTACGTATGATGCGCGTAATCCAAAAGGTTTTCAGTTAATTATAAATATCATGAAACAAGCTAGGTTCTTATAGTACACCACACAGCAGCTTAGCCACAGCCGGAAAACATGATGGTCCCTTCCCAGTTCTCTTGTCTTTGTGTGCTAGTTTTATTACCTTACAATTTTTTCGCTGTCGATGCGTTGAACTATGTCAGCTTTGATTCCGATAATGGAATGTTCAAGCTGCAATGGGCGCATGACAAAGGCAAGCTGGTCTTCAACATGACATGTAAAACTACGGGTTGGTGTGGAGTGGGCTTTACAGAAAGTTCTGAAGGCAGAAGGATGGAAAATTACGATATGGCTGTTGGTGGTGTACATGTCGCCTCCAACACGCCATACCTTGATGTAAGTCTCTCAACCAGTTCTTTAGTTTATTATAATGATAAAAATACTCTAAACATGCGCTTGCAAGAATAGGAAAACGATCTGACGTGATAAAGAGTTTACGAATCATTTAATTATGACTTAAAAAGCTAAATTTGGCTCGTTTGGGGAAGTCATAGTTATATACAGTAGCGCTCTCATTGTATGACTGCCGATTCCTTACTGACGGTTATAGACTATTACAAATATTCAGCCTTACTTTGCGTGAGGGAATCAATCGGTTCCAATTAAAAAACCAGATGCTTTTAGGAGCTACTTTACTTCACCTTCATATCCTTTCTTAAGGCTTACAAGTAAGATTGACAAGTTAGTGAATGAGCCTTTTCCTCCAACCTCGGACCCTGGGAACAGCTGTGGGAACGAGGCTGCCTTTTCCTGTCGTTATCCACCATTTCTCTTTGATCAAAAACGTCATCTGGCGTGTCCCCGCGTTTATCGACTGTCCTATCTAAAACTGATCATGCGCGTAAGGACTGTATGTATGATCACAATATATCAGTTAATGGGAAGACTGATATGCTGTTCACCAGCAATTGACATTTCTTGATGCAGTTAATTATTTCTGCGTCAACTGAAAAACTGAAGAGGACTTGTAGTTTTGGAATCTGTTTCATCCACTAATGCATTCAAGAAAGATCTTCAAACTATTTTATGAAATAACGCTTTAATGGTGCACAGAGTGAAAATCTCATAACGCTAAAACTGAAATTAAAACTTAATTTTTGCCGGCAGGGATACCAAAGCACTGGTCCAGGAATACCAACAAAGGATCCCACTCCAGATTACAAGCTCATAAAAGCCTCAGAAGAGAATGGATACACTAATATACAGTTTGAAAGGATTGATACTACGGAAGGGGACGAAAAAGATGTTCAGTTTACGGTAAGAAGCGCATGTATTCTGCTCATTAAAATAAAGTCGCACATAATATAAGAAATGGACATTTTTCTGAATATCTGTTCTCCTTTTGATTTTTAGAGTGACAGTCAAGTTTGGATAGTAAGGGCTTGGCATAGCAACGACGCACACTTAGGTCTGAACGCAAACTTAAAACACAGCCACACAGGAGTGTCGACAAAAAAGTATAACTTGATCATGGAGGCAGAGTCGACCACCGTAAAAAACACAGCCAGTGGCATGCGGAGAAGAGTTGCGACATTTGTTATTCTTGCCCAGATCGTTGCGCTTTGTTCCGTTCTAATTTAGGCCTTTCACATCGTTTTCCAAGAGCTTGACTGACAAACCGACGATGAGCTTCAGTCACCGTATTCCGCGGGCGACAAAATCGGGAAAAAGCAAAAAAGGGAGTTACCCTTTTGTTTGTTCGTTTATTTGTTTTTTATTACTAAACTTCGGCATTTTGGGCGTACTGGCGTACTATAAAGAATGAATGACTCTGTCAGGAGCTCCTGCTCTGTCAGTAATACCGAGGCAACAGTTGAACTCGATCCTTAATGACTGAAAAGTCTCTTCAGACTGATATACGATCGGAAATCGGTTAATTAACGAGGTCACAACTTTTCCGTCTTTATGCTGTCTATTGATTGACTACGCAAGAGAGCACCAATTTCAGGTTAGTCTGAAATGCCAGGCCAGTCGTCTCTTCGACCCCCCTCCCTCCTAAGAGACGGCCGTAGAGCCATTTGAGCTCAATTGGAACCAAAACAGCCTATCAAAGATATATTCCAGTCCACTTTGGGAAGCTTGCATGTCCAAATTAGCCCTTAAAGGTGGACGAAATAGCCAAATTAGACGCTAATGGTTTACCTTTTTTTCGAGACAGCCCAAAGCAAATTCAGCGCTTAAAACAGATCTTTTCAGTTAACAGTGTATGAGCCAACGAACCGACCGATGACTGGGATAATCAATCTGGCTGCAATGAAAATTTTATTTCCTAATCTTTAGTAATAATATTCAGGCAACTATAATTCTTAAAAAAATCTCAAACAATAAGAGAAGAAAGATTTTTGCTGGGAAAAAGACCAAGTACGTTTACAGGGCTAACAATTTGTTTATAGTCTTGGTTTAATCTCGACTCTTATTTCTATCTATTTCTATGTGAATAAAATAGACTTTTTAAAATAAGTCTCTTTCGACTGTCCTAGAATTAAAACTTGAAAATTATCAAAGTCTTGTTTGAAAGGTACTGAGCAGCGAGACCGAGCTATTAGAGCGCTTGACTCGCAATCCTGATTACCCCTGCGGACCTCTGGTTGGATTTGTTAGTATCGGCAGTTCAACTACAGTTGAAGCTCTCCTAACGGACACAAAACCCCGTTTTTCTCAACTCCCATATAAACTCTGTATTTTTACATTCTCGTAAGCGGCTAGCTCAAGGTACAGACACCTTTTTTCGCATCTTGAGGGTGAGCTGTCCGCTCACGATTTGTCCTTCCTGTTAGTTGGAAGCCCGGGTTAATTGGCGGACGAAGGGGTGGGTTGCGAGAGAGGAAAGGGCGGGAGGTGGGAGTTCTATAAGGGTGGGTATAGCGGCAGAAAAAGGGGAAAATCACTCAACAATGCTTAATATTTTGCAATCAAATAAAGGTAAAATGGACGAAGCTAAGAAGAAAGGGGTGGGAGCCGGGAATGCAAGGTAGGGGAAACGGTCCCGTTCCCCCCAAAATCGCCCCCGCCCGCTCAACCCCGAACAACCTTATTTTTCATTTAAATCAGTTGCACCAATTATTTGTACGGCCGAGCAGAGTTTTGGTTTATGGACAAACATGTTCATTATATTGTTTAAAAATAATTATTTCTATGCGGTTAAGCTTCAATCTGCAAATTGGTCATGGTACAATAATTATGATACCATTGAAAAATAACTGGACAAAGCGTAAGGCTCTGTAGTCATGCAATATCTACGTCCAAAGTCCTCGTTAATTTGAAGTCACAACACAAACAAAAAATCGTGGAGGTTAACTTTTCACTTGAATAACCAAACCTTGGCTGGCGTAGCCTTGGAATCTTACCCAAAATTTCAAACATGTGATAAAGGCTATACGTTTATGAAGTTATGATGCCACCACAAAGATCCGGTTGGTTTGTTAAGCGTTAAAGTTATGATTTAACGGTGACCAATCGCGAAGGGCATCGGATAAATTGATTTACAGCTTTTTGAGAAGCATTGCTGAAATGATTTCGATCCATTGTATCATTTATTAACCACCTCAGCATTCATTGGAACCTTCAGAAGGACAATGCATTTCCTCAGCCAAATCTTCGCTGTCTTTGCACTAGCTGTGCTGCCTTTTGCTGCTTGTGCAAGCAATGTGTTGAACTACTACACCTTCGATTCTGGTGATGAAAATTTTACGCTGCAATGGGCGTATGATGGTAACGAAAAGTTGATTTTCAACGTGAGCTGCAAAACAACTGGTTGGTGTGCAGTGGGTTTCACCCCAATTGCTGATGGAAGAAATATGAAGGATTACGACATGGCTGTTGGTGGAATAACTGATAACAAGACATACCTCTGGGTAAGCGTGTTTAAACTGCATGAGTTAACCAGAATGTCTTACTTTATTATCCGTAATCCGTAAATAGCATCTGAGCTTTTAACAAGAACGGATTCAGGCAAGTTTTTAGACCACATAAAATTTCGATTCCAGACAATGAAAACAGAAAGCTTAAAAATGATTACGAGGATGAAGTTCCCCTATTCCTTTAAAGACGAGAAATCTTCCGTTTACAAAACAGACTTACAAGACAAATGTGATACTGATAACGCACTGAGGCAGTTTTCTCGCCCCCCAGTGGAATTCAAAATATCTTGCTAACAACCCAATCAGCTCCAAATTTCAGGTGACAAAAATAAGATTTCAGGAAAATTCAATAACCCATTTACAAAAAAAATGCAAATCAAAACTATCACGCTGAAATTTGGTTGTTAAAGGTAAGGGCTTATCTTCGGTGATCAGTGTTTCCAAGGAAACAGGGTGACCTCTCAATGCAAGAGAGCTCATGGCTCTCTTGCTCAATGTTATCTTTGCACGTTCGTCTGCTTGAGGCTTTTTGTTTTCGGTAGCCCGAATCAATTTATATGCATGTTGGTTATGTTTAAAATCGCATTTTTTAGCAGGAACGATTTAACCATTTTCTATGATTTTTGGTATCCTTCAAGCTTTAGGTAAGAATATCCTTTCAGATAGGACATAGTCCGTCAGCACTCTTCCTATATTTGTTCGTCAACTTTCACAAATGTGTTAGCGTAGCATTTTTAAGTTAAATTTGACCAGCTTTTTGTGCAGCGAGTTGTATGGTCACGATTATCTTCAAACTTGCAGATATAAAACTAGAGAGCTCAGGCTTATTTGCTCCGCTGTAAATAGGTTAGGGCCACCTTAAAGTTCTAAAACAGATAATATGAAGACATTTTATTGCCTCAACATTTGTTAAGTCAAATGGTTAGTCTGTCTTTTGTCATAGTGATTGGAAGGACTGCTTTTTTTAAGCCTCGGTGAAATTAAATGACTCGTTGATCGGAGCGCTTGACTTGTCCTGAGAAGCCTCTAGAACAGGCTTGCCTCGACAAGTTCTGAGGAAGTCATCATAAAGAAGCTATGCGCTACTCATCATCAGATTTCCTCGCAATTTGTCGACACCACAGTCACTGTCCCACCAGGACAATCTTAGTTCTCGAACTTATAATACTAATAATAATAATAATGATTTTTTTTCTGTTTTTAAAATCAAATTTACAATTAATTCGCTTGAAAAAAAGAAAAACACTATTCATTCAAAACACCATTTACAATTCCTGTCGATTTAAAAAGCACTTAATTTAGCTTTGAAAGAGTTAATTTAACTAAGAAAAATTTGTTCGAATTAAAAGCATTTCATTTCAATAAAAAAACTGTCAGCCTCTAAAATTCAAAAGTTTCTTTCAAATGTTTAAAAAAAAATAAAATGAAATAAAATAAAGGCAATTAATAAAGCATCTATAGCTGTTGAGTCTAGGGAAGTCCTGCTTGACCCTTCTCTATTTCTAGATTCCTGTCCTTACTAATGATAATAATAATGATAAAGAGGGAGGCCAACTGGCCATGACGGTTTTCAGTGGGGCCCTCATAGATATCATCATCAACATTATCATCATCATCATCTTCATATGATTATTATCATCACTGTTATTATTATTATTATTATTATTATTATTATTATTATTATTATTATTATTATTATTATTATTATATTTTAATATCTGAGACGGAAGGTTCTTTTTTGTAATGACCTAATTTAAAACTCTGGACCGCCTGCAAGAGTTATTGATCGCATCTGAACCGCAAGTGTGGTATTTGTTAATCGTTATTGACACTGTGATTGTATTTTTATGATTTATATAATTCGTAATGCTAATGCTTTATTCTTAGTTCAAATATTTCTGCTGTAAATTATGTACATATTTTTAAAAATGAATAAAATTATTGTATTATTATTATTATTATTATTACTATTATTGTTATTATTGTTATTATTATTATCACTCTTACTATTATTTATCATTTTATTGTCTTTTTTTTTGTTTGGTGGCGACTGGCAGGGTTATCATGGTCTTAGTCCGGGACTACCATACATAGATCCAACTCCAGATTACGTTCTTATCAGCGCTTCTGAAAGCAATGGTTATACCAATCTGCAGTTTGAGAGAGAAACAACAACAGAAGAAGACGACGATCCCCATGATGTTCAGTATCGGGTAAGGAATACAGCCATTTCGAGAAAGGTTGTCGGAAAAAGTGCAAGCGACAATCCCGAAAGGCACTGTGGGTGGTTTTGAGTTCACTGTTCTTCGGAGAAATTTGAAAGAATTGGCACGAAAGGCCATGGAAATATGTTTGCGAGTGCTAAAGGAAAGCAACAAAAGTAGGTTCGACAGCTACAGTCGTCAGGAACAGTGTATCGATCATATCCCATATTACCTTTCAGGATTGTCGCGTCCACATTTTTTTCCGACAACCTTTCTCGAGATAGCTGTATACAGCGAGCTGATCCAATAAAGGTTGCTTTGGGCATTGGGAATTGGGCACTAGCTAGGAAGCTATTGTTTGGTGGTCACTCAGGCAAATATTTGCATTGTTCAGTATGCCCAAATGATAAAATGCCCAAATGCCCAAAGCAACCTTTGCTCAATCAGCTATATCGGTAACACCAGATTACAGCAACATTTATCTATAGGCAGTAAAATAGCACACAGAAAAATTTAT